TTTCAGAAAAGGCAACCACCCTACATTGCTAGTTAAAGTGTTAAAAAAATCTGATATTTTTTCTTTCTAAATTGAATAAACATCAAGCAAGTATTAAATGTTTTTAAATTATTAGATTATTTTAGGAAACATATGTATGCATAAAATATAAATTTGAATAACTAAATTGTATCAAAAAAGTTTAAATGAAATGCTTTTTTTTGTATCAATCAAAAAATAATAAAATAAAATTTATAATACAAATTCTGAATACGGGAAAGACGCATAGTACAAGATGTGCCATAAAAGTTACATAAATAACAGGATCTACAAAAAGTTTGAGAATTAAAAATGGCCACGAGAATCCAAAAGGAGAGCACTATGGAGAGACTGCATAAAGCAATATATATTAGTCTGCTATAGGCAATCATAGAATGAAAACTAGCATAAAATTGAAAAAGCAATTTATAAGCATGAAGTTTTGTCGAAAATTTGTTAAAACAGCCTCTAAACCTCATACAAAATTGGTATAGGGGTAAGACAGATATCTAGAGCAGAAAATGCATTGCAGAATGATATAAACATTTTCAAGGGAAAAGGAGTCAATGATCTAGATGTAGTTCTTTTTCCCAAATATAATTTCTCAAAAGTTACTCAACAAATGTGACAATCGACGCTTGAGATAACCAAGGGGCAATAGAGAAATTTGAAATTGCAGGATGTTGTTATCACCATCATTCACAAAGATTTGGATTAGGTTTCATTGTAAAAGATGTTATACTTTTTTTTGATATTATTGACCCATCCTTTGCTACTGTACCCCTACCTCCTTTTGTCACATTATATTACATAAAGATAATAGCTTGAAATAAAACACATGTTAAATATCATATTTCAACTTTTATTGTTTAACTATGTGTTTTAATAGCATTTACAAGCATAAAAATGATTATATGTGTACTTATCTTAATTAAAAAGATATAAAAACAAGCAACACAAAAATAGATCTGCAGACTTTCAATGTTTTTATTTTAACCAAAATGTGTGTTGTCTCACTTTCTTGTTACACCCTTTTAGACTTTTTGGAGACGTAACTTATCGTATATATAAGTAGACTTTTCAAACTCTTAAAATTTTACAAAAATCAGGGGGTCAACTTATACACTGGCAAAATTCAGACATTCGTTGATTGGGAAATATCAATGCATTATAAACAATGAGATAGATATGAATAACTCTATATCAATTTATCTATTTCAAATTTATTTTTAATATGCAATATATAATTAATTTTGAATTTTTTCTCATCAAGTTTTCTTAACATGTAAAGTTTAATTTTAGAAATAATACTTTAAATTATATGCTTAGAAAAAAAATTAAGAGCATTTAAGGTGATTTATTCAAGAGTATTTCAAGAAATATAACACAATGAAAGCTTTTAAAACATACCATAAAGCTACAAATTTAAAGATTCCAGAACACGATCTGTGTCAGAATAAATATTGTCAGCAATGTTGTTGTACAGATCTGTCTGCAATAGATGCTACACTATCCTCATGTCCTGCAAAAAAAACTGTTTTACCCTCTTCTAAAGAATTTGAAATTCCACACTTTTTAAAAGATGTTACAATAATATTTGAAATTATATTTTGTAATTTGTCTCGTTTCATTTGATACATGATGTCTATAAGAGCAGCGCAAAAGTTTCATGTTTTTGTGTTCATTTTAGATGTGAAGTATTTTTTTACTTAAGACAATTTTGTCTACTTAATTTTTTCACGTTTTGTTATTTTAGAAATTTTTGTTTTTTCAGGAGTTTACTTCATCAGAGATTTGCTGTCACATATTCAAAAATAGGTCGACTCATACAACAATATATATGGTGCATGCTTCACTTGATTCTCCAGAAGAGGATTTCCCTATCAAATTTTTTAGACACACCTTACATGTCAAATCTACATATTTTTATCACTTAACTTAGTATTTTTCACTATAAACTTCCATAAAATATTTGCTATAATTTTTTTACTTTGTGACGATGTGAGACTTCATAAAGCAATCTAGTCTATTAAGGCTGGGTGATAACTTTTAGTCAAAAGATGTAAGGCTGTGCTTACGAANATCATATAGTGATATAGTCTAAAGAGGCTGGGTAATCACTTATAGCTGAGAAGCCATGTACTATCGCACAGAATATGTGTTCCTGATTCTGTCCTTCACTATAACCTCAACTTTAAAAAGACTATCTTTGTTATTACTACTTAAATTTTTTTTAAAAATACATGGCAGAATATTTATGTCATTGTTTTTACTTGTAAGATTTAAATCAGTGATTTTTTCTTTCAAAAATAAAACGATCAATGAAGTGAATTTATTAAATTAGTGAAACCTTGCAGTTACCACAAAAGTGTTCAATTATACAAATAAGATAATATATTTATAAAATTAGAAAGTAAAAATAGAAATAAAAAATTGTTAAGAGCTTGCTTGAGAAAACACAGTACAAGGATTGTTCCCTGAGCTTAACAGAGAAAGGCAATCATAATTGTTCACTACATTAAAACAACTGTATGCTTTGAAATATTTTTAATTGTTCTCGCGTAGCTTTAATTGATACATTTTTATAGCAAAATCTCATTGTATTTAATTAATACAATTAGAATACAAAAGTGATTCATACTTATTGTTCTATAAAAACATAAGATAATGAAAGCAACTTCCTTATTCTTTATGTATGAAACTCCTTTTTTTTTCTTCTTCATTAACCAGCATAATTATATTTTTTAAATTTTACAAGAGTACATAGGAATTGATGAAATTGTTTTTTCTAATCATCTAAATAATGATGATAATGGTTGCATTAATAAGTGAACTTAACATTTTAAAAATAATGGAATAATTAATAAATTATTGAAATAAAATTTTAGTTTAATTATTAAGATAGGTAACTAAAACTAATTGTATAAAAATAATTTTAAAATATTGCTTATAACCTAGACATCTTAAAATACAAAACATTGTAGTAAAACAAGGTCGAAGAATAAGATTAAGCAATACCATCTTTTACTCATTGTTTTCAGACTTTTTACACAGATATAGTTATAGAATATTCTCTTTCAAAAAATGTAACATATCTATAGATGACATTGAGTATCCATTCACTGTTTAGTCTATCGGGTTGCTGGATCATCAGCTCTATTGTAATATCCCATACTTCATTTCGCATAGTTATTCCCAGTTTTATTGTTATTTTCACAAAGTTATATTAGTGTTATTTTCAGTAAATAATAATTAACAAAGAATGTACAAGCACAATTATTGACAAATTTAATACTAAACATGGTATCCATAAAACTTAAAATAGAACAATGGAATTATTACCTATTGGATGTGAGTGAACAAATTTTAATCAATAACTTCAATTATTTGTTTTGGTAACAAAATTACCCGTTTTAACTTTCTAATATAGTAAGGAACAAGCTAGCAATATTTTTCAAATCAAAAATTCTGAAAATAGGGTAGGTCTATGTTCAAAGGTAGTCTATTTCTTTCTGCATTGAAAAATCCTTAGTATGTTATGATGATCAGTAATTTGTTAAATAATGCAAGATATCAAGTACTACGGATTGTTTATATGTTCAATACACATGAACTTATGAACACATCATTTGATATAGACTATGGATGAAGAGTCATCTTGTACTTGATCTTTTTGATATCTACCCTGCGTCATTGTGATGGCTGTTCTAAATTGTAATCTGAAAATGTTTGAACATATCTTAGAGACATACTTACTGACACATCATTTTTTAAATGTCTGCATCTCAATTATTGAATGACTATACTTTTTAACATAGCTAAATGACATTTATAGATAACCTTCATACAACTATAATTTATAAAACTGTAATTTATTGGAATATTTTGTTATTGTACCAATATCTTTTCAATAATGCTATATGTTTTCTGATGAACAATACAGAGTGGCAAAACTTGACTTTTCAGCCTGATATTGTTATTTTTTTTATCACGTTCCTGCAGTATCAGATAACAGCTCAATCACTTGTACTGAAACCATGTATGACTTTTTCATCCAATGCTGTGTTTTCAAACAGTAAGCAAACATTTTGTACTAGGCCCTCAAGAATGTATTAAGTATCTTACGCATTTCAAATTATTATATTTATTCTGTACAATATTCTAAAATTTTCTACATTTCTTACATATTTCAGGCTATTATTTCTCTAGTTAACAGAATTACAATGAAAGAAATATTGATGAACACTGTTAGGTAATATGGCATGTAAAGATCAATTACACAACCCACAATATGAAGGTCATATAGTCATATGTTTATTCGATTCTTATGAGTACTTGTGTAATTTTCAGTATAGATACTTTTTAGAAACTTAACTGTACTCGACTCACTCACTACTGTATCAATAAAGTATATCTCACACATTAGGCATTATACGGTGCTCTGATGACACAGTCAGTTAAGGTGTCGTTCACACCACTGGTTGGAAAACTAGGGTAATGAGTTTCATCCTGACAGCCTACAAAACAACCAGTGTGTATACAGCAAGGAACACGTTACATCTGTTGTGGCTGTCCTTTGGTGTGGAAGTTCGGAGAGAGGGATACCAGCTCAGTCGCTCTCCTCGCCGTCTTACCAGAGTCAAAATGACGTGGCATTCCTGCCAGGGACATTACAAAGAGCCTTAAGAATGGAGCTCGATGCTTTGCTATGGTTGTGTGATGTGATAGACATATCATGCTCCATTGACACCAGGCTAAATGTATGGAGATTTTTCTTCATTCTCTTATAATACAACAGTGGGTCAGTTTCATTCTAAAAGATAGTTCATGTTTTTTTAATTCCTGCTACAAATTTTCCTTATATTAAGAGACACAATGCATTTCAATTTATACTGAGCTGTTATGTAACATTTCATTTCCAGGGATAAACACAAATAGCAGTAAATATAAATTAAGCCTTAATTCTTTTTATCTTTGCATAGGTGTTCAGCTTATTAATGATGAAAACCAAGAGGGACATGGAAAAATATAGAAATGAGAAGGAGTCCAGTTCTTCGAGTGCATAACTAACGCGGGGAACTGCTTGGTGCAGTATGCTGTACCAGAAAAACATCTTACAGCGTGAGTAATATACTTAGATTTAGCAGAGCATCATATGTATTAAGATGCATCACATGTGCATAAGAAGACAAGTGGCAGTCCGGAAGTTAGCCAGCTGTGAACCGGTTGTTGGACAACTACATGTGTGGGTGAGCACGCTGCCTCCCACTATTTTATTCTAAAATATGTTAGCAGATTCAATCAACGTGGATGATATAAAAGTATTTTTAAAGAAATATCTTAATTGATAGTGCAGTACTGTTTATCATTAGTGTAAAAATGCAGAACTAACCATTAACCAACAATAACAAAAGGGGAAACTTTTCTTCTCCCTCTCAACCCCAGTGGTGGATTAGAGGGTGCAAACACCTGTTTCCAAGGTCCTCTGCTGCTATGTCCCTAAATATTATTTTTCCTTTATACACAGAAACCATACCAAACCTAGGGATACGGGCTTGTTACAATGGAAGCTACCCTTTCTCCCCAATAGATATTCTTTGATTAAGGTTCCAACTGCATGATCAACTAATAAATGAATGGTGGCAATGTGGCCAGCTTTGTAAGCTTTTACATTCCAGGCTCATTGGTATGAAGTTTAAAACATCAATAAAGAAGCTACATCGAAAATAATTTAAGGCAAAGCTTCAGTTCTACATACTTCAGATTTAAAATATATTTTTAATGCACGATCACATGAGTCTACAAATTCACACAATTCAAGGCTTATCTTAAAGCATGATAATTGCAGATAAAATTCAGTCAAATATTAACACATGTACTATCATAGCTATATTTATTTATATTTTAAGCTTGTTTCAGCATGTTAGAGATTTAATCATTTTGTATTTTTACACCTCTTTATAAATCCCCAAAGGTTAGCGTTTCAATAAATGACTCTTTGCGATAATTAATTTATTAGAATTAGTTGCGTGATATTAGAAGTCTTAGGAATATGATAAATTTTTGTCTTAGGATTTAGAAATAAAAGTTTAATGGGTCAGAAAAGCTAAATGCTGTTTACTACTAAGGACCATTCTAATGAAGCTTTAAACATATTTTAATCTTATAATATCTTTTAAAATTATTTACTTTGGAAGTTTGTTTGAAATGCACATTATTTACTTCATTCTTAAAAAATGTGTTAAATTATTTCAGTTGCAAAATTTTTGTGTTTTTGTTTCTTAATGTTAATCATATCAGATATTTCTTTCAGGTGCAGATGTATCTCACTAAACATATGCAAAAATAAATAAGATTTTTAAATGTAAAATAATTTACAAATTCTATTTTTTAAAAATAATTTTTGAATTTATTCAAATTAACTTCACCATCTAATTAAAAAAAATGTTTTACATTAAAACAAATAGCAAACTCATTTTCAAGTTCTTGAGTAGAACTGGTGCCAGCAAGTATCGTTTTTTTCTCCCTAGTTATTATTTATTAGATAGATGCAATCCGATTCTCAGTTGCAGCATATTTTTCTATATTAAATCTTAATTATTTTAGGCCATACGAAGAGAAGGCTTAGCTTTCTTTTGAACAAGCTGACAAGAATTTTGAGCGTTTTGACTAGAGCAATGGCCATGGGTCAGGACTACTTGCAGAGTAATGTGTATAGAATAGGACAGGTAGATATCTGACACTCTTACGACTCTGACAACCCTCTTTACGACCATGGCATGTCCATGACGGAGAGCACCTTAATGTATGCCCTATTGTCCTTAAATGTTATCCATATAATGTTAATGATAATACCTCTTGAGATTTTTATTATTTTTACTATATTGGGCTGATTGTTGACTGATGACCAAAATTTTAGTGACTGCCATAGGTTGAAAAAAAATATATATTGATTATCCAAAGCTTTATGAAGAATTTAATTTTTACCTTCATTTTTAATAAAATTTGATGTCCCAATACAAAAAGAAAAAAACAAAGTAATTAAAAAGTGGAATTATTACAAAATATTTCTAGCCATATGATTGTATCTAATCTGATAACAGCAAAATAGCCAATTTAAATGTGTTGCATATTACTTTATACATTTTTTTAAATGAGGTATGTATAATACTATTGTGATAATTTTAAATAAAAAAATTCGGTAGATTTTGTACAAATTTAATAACTCAATATTACAATGCGGGAAACCAACTAGGTTCAAAATAAGAGTAAAAAATTAAATGAATTTTAATAAGTATAATTTTTATATCAATACTATACATTTGATTTAAAAATTTTTAAACTAAAATTATTTTTAAGTATTGAAAAACATCTCCTTTCTGTTAACATTCTGTAAGGCAGAAAATGTATTTTTATGGTTTTTAAAAAAATGTATATTTATGGTTTTAAAAAGACCAAGTCATGTCATCAGGTGAAACATTTGAAAACTGACCGTAAGTATTAAATCACTAACTATTGACCCCCCCCATTATTCAACTTGGAGTAGCCTTGCTCTATAAAAAAGTTTCTGATCAAATTTGTTCAAGTAACCTTACATTTAAAAGATAATATTCTATCTTCTACATTTCTTTGATAAGGGATTTATATTTAATCATTTACTTTTTTGTTACAGAGTTTGAGAAGTTTGTTAGTCTGATAACTTTAATTCAATTCAGAGAAAATAACTGAAGGAAAATCAGGCAAGTAAATGCACAAACAATTTATTGTAATTTTGTTTCTCTTATTCAGTGATTTTAAATTTAAATTATGTACAATGTGAGAGAAATTTGATTTTTTTTCTGTTAATAAAATTTAAATAATTCTAATTTTGCAACTTGGACGCAATATCTTAAGCTACCTTACCTTATGGAAAGTTCAAATTTCAGAAATTTATATCTGATGTGCAAGAACATTTCATGTATCAACCAACACTTCGCAAAGATGGATACTTATTTAACTGATGTGAACAACAATTTGCATTTAGAATTGCTCAACCGACACATTTTTATAAATAATTAATTGTTTATAATTTGAAACGATTATAAAAACAGGATTTTATACAGAGGAAGAAAAGACAAAAAGTGCAATTATAAAGTGAAATTTCATTAAATCATACAGAGTAAAATTTTTTAGTGTTAAAATTGGATCAGCTGCACTGCAAGTCAGTATTTTTAGGTCAATCTAGACATATCTAACATATCTTTTCGCAGATTAGATATTGTACATCATTTTTGACCGACCACATTCAATTTCACATTAATAAAAGTATGAGAAGACTTAAAATATTAAGATATGTTATGTTTATAACATTTAATGTAAAGTTGTTACTTCAAACTCATCTACGTGAGAGATTATCAAGCCACAATCTTTCTTTTTCTCTCAAGATTTGCATTAAAGCTTAGTAAAGCTTTGACACTAATTAACTAAAAAATGAAAAGAATGAAGATTTAAAATGTTACAATCAAGAAAAAAAAAGCTGTTCCTGAAAATTAACAGAACACAATAATAGTATTCTGAAAAGACTCAGACTACTGTTATTTTGAAGAAAGAAAAAATTCTCTACATGGTAAGAGAGTAACTCCTATTGTTCTTCACATAGACTACCATGTCTACTAAAATGGGAATAGAATATTCACATAATGGTTTTGTCACCTCAATATTGTTGTAGAGTAGTTTATGGAAATATTTTTAAGTTAAAGAAGGAGATTTTCATTATTTCTAAAGTAATTAGAAATAACAATTCAATATTACTTCTAATTAGTTCTTACATTTATCTTATATTTCACATGATTTAGACTTCTTTATCAGAGTGAGTTTTTCTTCATCCGCTGACTTTCTCTCTTCAGTAGCTTTCCAATTTATTAAGATTTTTATACCTTAAGCATTTATAAAGTTCTTTGCTTGGAGGCATACATTAAAAACAGTCTTTTACTCATTTTCAATTCCTACGTAGTGATTCTCTTAACTTATATTTTATGATGAAAAATCTTCGATTTAGTTCATTATTGAGAGAGTGCATCGTACTTTATTTTATCAACTGCATTGAACAGCTGATGCATATTGAAAAAGAGACTGCATACTTCAAATTTTTCATGATATTCAACTTTCTTATTTTTTTTATTAATACAATTCGATACTAAATGAAACATAAAGACCAGTCTTTCACCCTAGCAGAGTTAAAATCAATGTTTGGAGGTCTTTTCTCTTTTTGTGCATTCAACTGTATTAACTTCGATATAGAACACTGTCTACTTAACAGTAGACTCAAATTTTATAAGGGAATTAAAAATGTAACAGATGCAAAATGTATTGCATAAAATTTAAAATTACATACCATTAAAAGAAATTCGAAAGCTTCTTTTGCTGGAACTTTGAATCGAAAACTCATTGTAAAGTTATGCCATTTTTTAGAAGCATCACATCAATGGAGAAATGCTTCAGTTGCTTTCATTCACCATAGGGTTTCATAACTTTTACTCTATCTACATGGATGTGACATTGTCCTTAATTTGAACCACGTTGGTTATTTTCCTAATGACTGAAGATCAGATTCTTGCTGGATATCCTTATCAACATTTAGAATCCGTTGAGTGTCTTTAGCTTTGACATCTTTGGATCAACTAAGTTGTAAAATGTTGAGAAAAGTTAACTTTTTAAAAACATTTTGGCAGGCAATTTTTCTTTTGGAAATCTGGTTAAATAGATATCCATTAAGAGGGATAGATGAAACTATAATTTCATGATACAACAATCAGAATTGGCTGTATTGTGCAAGATACAAACGCAATTATATTAAAGAAATGAACTCAATAAGGCAGAACACAACATTTCAAGCACAAATTATGAAGATAAAAGAGATAAACAATCCTTTCATGAGATGCATTCACTGTCTCATAGTCCCCAAATCATTCATCAAAAACAACATGTTGTATTTGTATGTTTTCTTTAGCTCTTTTTCTTTGTAACACAGAAATTTAAGCAGATACACCTCAAGGGTCAATTAGTGTGAAAGGTGTCTTCTTTTAAGGCACACAGCTCGTCGTAGGCCAAGGTTGTCTACTGTATGTATATATTGTATTAGATGCATGTGGTATTTAGTAAAATTTTTATCATATGATCAATTTTATCAGATGCACGATGCCAAGTATTGATTTTTGATAGATTTAAGCATTTTCTCAAAAGATTACCTCTAATTTAAAAGTTCTAACAGGAGCTTAAAGATTTAAACAAATTCTCTAGCAAAACCTAATGTGTAAGAGATCATGTTGATTAAAAACAATTATGAATTTCTCTAAATTGAACATTAAAAATCATAATGTATATTGTAAAAAGAAATTAGAACAGAGAAAGATCTTTTATTTTTTAAAATCAATGATAAGACAAAGACATATAGCTTTTAAATTTTTGATTCTTATAGTTATGTTGTTCTATAGATAGTCATAATTGTATCTTAATTATGTTCTATGAATGCATATCTGTTAAAGGTTCTTTTTAGGAAAAAAGAAAAGTTCAAGATAATAGATTTACTTCACTATAAAAATAATTCATTAAAGCCTGTTTCTATCTGAAATTTTTATTTTTTCTCCAAAATTAAGTATTATCAATAGAATTTGAGATAAGGTTCAATTATTGAAAGCTATAAGAATTAAAATAATTCCATTTTGCTAAGTTAGGGTTAAAAATGAAGGAAACTTTCATTTCAATTTGCAAAACAAAACAAATTTTGTTTTATTAATTTAACATGATTTTCAAAACTAAGTCATTTTAAATCATTAAATAAAAGTAATTTAATAAAAATTATTTTTTATAAGTTTATAAATTGATTCTTTCTATATCTTTTATAAGTTTTCAAAATTGAATAAGATTATAATGTTTGTTCCATAGTAAATATATTTTAACGCAAACGCTAAGTACTTATGTTACACTAGTGGGATTATTTTATTTGTTCAAAATGTCCATTTTACTTTGATTCATAATTTTCTAAGAATTTTATCTAAAATTATACTTTATAAGTATTTGTTAGATTGTAAGTAAATATGATTATATATTTTTTCATACTCCGACTAAGTTGCCGTTCTCTGTTTGACAGACTAACTATTTCCACAAAAAAGTTTTCATCTAGTAAATTATCTCGAAAATAATGCAATCGAAATATTTAGAAGTACTCTCAAGTTACAGAATGAAATGTCTAAGTCTTTTTTTCTGGAAATTCGAAAATTTCTTAAATCATTTTATGTCTTTAACTGATAAAAGGCAGATATCTTCTTGAAATATGTGTTTACATTTTTTTGCCTGTGAATTAAATTATTTTAATTACACCGCCTTTATTTCTACTGTTAACAAAATGAATTTTTTACAAATAAATTATAGCTTTCAATGGACATTAACCAAAGTTTTTTTTTTTTTTTCCTCCAACTCCAATGGCAGTGGCCAACCTATATAACCATTCATTACNGATCTTTTATTTTTTAAAATCAATGATAAGACAAAGACATATAGCTCTTAAATTTTTGATTCTTATAGTTATGTTGTTCTATCGATAGTCATAATTGTATCTTAATTATGTTCTACGAATGCATATCTGTTAAAGGTTTTTTTTTAGGAAAAAAGAAAAGCTCAAGATAATAAATTTACTTCACTATAAAAATAATTCATTAAAGCCTGTTTCTATCTGATATTTTTATTTTTTCTCCGAAATTAAGTATTATCAGTAGAATTTGAGATAAGGTTCAGCATAAGTTTCAATTATTGAAGGCTATAAGAATTAAAATAATTTCATTTTGCTAAGTTAGGGTTAAAAATGAAGGAAACTTTCATTTCAATTTTGCAAAACAAAACAAAATTTGTTTTATTAATTTAACATGATTTTCAAAACTAAGTCATTTTAAATCATTAAATCAAAGTAATTTAATAAAAAATTATTTTTCTTTTATAAGTTTTCAAAATTGAATATGTTTAAAATTGTGAAAGATTTTAATGTTTGTTCCATAGTAAATATATTTTAACGCAAACGCTAAGTACTTATGTTACACTAGTGTGATTATTTTATTTGTTGAAAATGTCCATTTTACTTTGATTCATAATTTTCTAAGAATTTTATCTAAAATTATATTTTATAAGCATTTGTTAGATTGTAAGTAAATATGATTATATATATTTTCATACTCAGACTAAGTTGCCGTTCTCTGCTTGACAGACTATTTCCACAAAAAAGTTTTCATCTAGTAAATTATCTCGAAAATAATGCAATCAAAATATTTAGAAGTACTCTCAAGTTACAGAATGAAATGTCTAAGTCTTTTTTTTCTAGAAATTTGAAAATTTCTTAAATCATTTTATGTCTTTAACTGATAAAAGGCAGATATCTTCTTGCCTTTTATCAGTTTTACATCTTTACATTTTTTTGCCTGTGAATTAAATTATTTTAATTACAGTGCCTTCAGTTATTCTGTGGTGTGTGTTTTTTACCAATAAATTATTGCTTTCAATGGACATTAACCAAAGTTTTTTTTTTTTCCTCCAACTCCAATGGCAGTGGCCAACATATATAACCATTCATTACTCACAATTCTGGTGGAATATTAGGGATGAGTTCAAGTCAGTTTTTTTTTAAAATGAAAGGCGTGTTAAATACATTAAAGCTCTCGTGACTGAAAGTTTGGAAAGAGAGGTACCAGCTCAGGCGTTGCCTGATTAAAATGATAATATGGCCAATAACTAACCAATAATTAAACAAAAGTAAGCATGTCTGGTATTGTAGATTGCAAACTATCTATTGACAATATAAAAGCAAAAATTTTTTTTTAAAATTAAAAATGGCAGAAACGGAAGTTTGTGTTTTGTCATTTGTAATAAATAAAATCATCCTCAAGTCTTCAGTTAATTCAAGTCAATATTGTTGTCAAACATTTATATAGATATGCACCTTTTATCGATTAGATTGAATCAAGATGACAGTTTTCTATTGCTATATCAGGTCTGAAAATACAGCATTTCAAAATTGTTCAATTTTTTTTTTGGAATTATAGTAAGTTAGTAACTCAGTTTTAATTAAATAAATTATACTATTATCCAAGATAACAAAACTGATTATAGCTTAACTGATTAAAACATTGTAAAACTGAACCAATGAACCATCTCCATAAGACCACATTGAAAAATCAAACTAACCAGCACCCAACCATTATCATTCCACTGATTTATTAGATTACTTTTTGTACATTTTTAAAAGTGCATGATAGAAGATTTTCAGTTGCATGGTTATTTTTCAATATCCTGAAAATTTTTATAAAAAAGTAGGAAGAGAGGAAAATGATAAAAAGGAGATGAATCACAAATCTGAAGAAGAATCCCATGTGTTGATTGTAGGTGCTTGCAGATGAATGGCCTTAGATTTGCTTTATTTGAACTAGTTATGGAAGGTTCTCTTATTTCCAGCTAATTACCCTTCAGTATTTTCTTTTAAATTTTATACAGAGCATCTCTTTGTGGTGGGATAGATTAAGCTTGGCTTTAACATAAAAAATATAAGAGCAATATAAAATGTATAAACTAACAGTAACCCATTTTCCACCCTTATACACTATTTTTTTAAACACATCAATTCATTTAAGCTTTCATTTGTGTCTATTATTCATTGGTTATAGATGGCTGATTGCACTCTATTAAAAAATATATATATATAAATCAAAGAACTAAAAAAAAGGACAGCATAGAATAACTAACACAGCTGTTTCAGCATAATCAAAATTTTTAATTGATTCATTGCTACTAGCAAGTATTATTATGAAGGCCCAGATAATTAATGAAGAAAACAGGAACAAATAAAATACATATAAACCGGGCAAAAACAACAAATGGAGAGGATTGAAAAAACAATAAATCAGATTAAGCAGAATGTTTTTCGCTATGTAATTTTCATCTTTTTAATCTCTCTTTAATCGAATTTCAAGACATTCAAAATAAAATTTTACAATAAAATTTTTATATATTTGTTATTGGATATGAAAAAGAACCTATTTCATTTTCAAAATTTTATTTTGTGACAATTGTATGTAAAGTTTCCTACGTTTGAGTTACACAGTGTATGGTATTGAAATGTTAAATCTTAACCTTTTTCCCATGGCTGGTACAATAGTTTTAACAGAATAGTGGGTTACTGATATACCTAAATGATTTAACCTTCACAATGTGTAGGTTTTTACATATAAATATATAAAATACTCAAGGCAGTATTGAAATAGAAAATAGAACAGTGAAAATTTTTATTGGTATATAATTTAAAATTATTATTATGTCATATAATTTACAATAATTATACATAATGACAACACAAAATAAACCTTTTTATAATTGCAAAGATCACTACAGTATCAGAGTAATAACGCTTTCATTCAAAAATGAGAGGATACAATTTTTTATTTGTAGTTCAAACCAAGCGTTAAACTATATGTCAGAGCTTTTGAGTTTTTCCAATTAGAAATGCTTTTTGTGACACTACACTAATGATATTTATGTAATATTATAATGATGATAGAGGGTAATTATTAAAGAAAAAAAAAATCGAAATACAGGTTTCACACAATCTTTAATTTTAAACAAATGACCCTATTTGCGATCGTTACCCATAGTTTAAGAATAATAAAATCAGGAAACAACAGGATTATAAATAAAAGATTATTATCTGTACCTATTGAACAGAAATTAATAAATCTTTTAATACCTTTTATTCATCAAAAAATTTGACCTTTGTGATATCAGAAAAATAAGAGTTACTCGATGTATGTAAATTGTAATAGAAGGCTTTCATTTGCATAAGGTATATTTAGTAAAAATATATATATTTTATATCGTAAGGATAAATTCAGCAAAGTTTTAGCAAATGTTAAACGTATGCAAGTACCACAAGACTCAAGTCCGGAGAGGGGTATATTTTCGTATTGGCCAGAAGGAAAAATGTGATTTTTTTTTTAATTACTTATAATATACCATCTCATCATACCTATTGATAAATGTAATAACGAAAGTATGGACGATAGTTTGTTAAAAACTTCCCATAACTTTTTCATATAATCATTTCCTATAGCTCTCTTTTATAAGTATACTGATAAAAATAAATACACATTATAAGAACAAATACACAAATAAAAAGTTTTCATAATAACTTTTGTATTATTTGTATTGTCCTTTTAAATATTTCTTAGGCTAGTTAAATGTCACAATGGTGGATGAAACTATGAGAAACATTTTTTCTTTAATAAAAGTTCTTATTACTAGAAAAAATAGATTTTTAATTAACGAAAAAATAATACTCTCATTTGAATTTAAAGAAAATAAGAGAAATAGATGAAAAACGTTAAAATGATAAGTTGATGTAAAAACTTGTCAATAAGTCATTCATTTAAATAAGTCTAAGCATACATTTAAATTAATATAATATTTGAAATTAAAAATAGTGGATTAATAAAATTAGTACAGATTATTAAAGCATTGCAGCAGTTTTTATTCAAGAATTTCTGCAATATGGAGTAAATTGTTCCAAACAATTTTCAACCCCTGCTTTTTCACATTTAAATGACCAGGTAGCAGTAGGCTGAAAGTTACCTAAAAAAACATCCTATAAGTATTTTATAAATCCACTACTTTATGAGTTAAAAGTTGATTGAAATTAAATACTAAAAGGAATATATAGATATATGTATATCACTTATCTAAAAGGGAAAAAAAAAACTCAAATATTAGATGATTTCAATCTTTATGTTACTAGTAAAAGCAATGTAAATGTTTTTAATTTAAAAGTAGAAAACATGTTTAATGGCACTATTTTGTATGTAAAAACAAGACCGGCTTTTGAAAATTTTCTAATTAATGTTTTATATAAATGGTTGGATTTTTATTGTATATCAATGTAATACAGAGACAGAGATAAGTGATTATTAAATTATGGATCTATACTTTAAAATATCAATTAGAAATTACATGCTATGATACTTAATGAAATAAGAACGAAAATAAATATATTAGCATTTTCACCAAAATTTATTACCCTTTTTTTAATGTATGTATTTAACAGTGCAATAGTTTGATTATACATAATTAAGTGATATTATATCACAAATTTCATAAAATTTGGAATAACACAACTTTCTTTTTTGTAAAAATATCACATTTTCCTTTAGACTAGGCGATTTTAAATCTTGTTCAGTCATTGTAATAGGACTGATTTACGCACCTGGTTTAACTGGAGCTGGAGCTTTTCTAGCTTTCTTCTTCTTAGGCTCAGCTGGCTGCAGTAACAAAATACAATTATATTCAGGCAATTTTTCACACAATATTTTAAAGCTGTTTTTCGAAGGCTCTGCCATCAAAAGAAATGAATCTTATTAGCTAATAATAAGCTATTTTAAAATCGTGTGAATACGAATTCCGATGTACAATTTTGAAGTCACTTGAATGTGATTCATAATGGTGGCTTTTACATTGCACCAATACAGAGCGCGATATTTGATATAAAATTGTGTAAATAAGAATTGCAGGGTCTAATTTTAAACTGCGTTTTGCATTCCAGGAAAAAGCATAAAAATTGATATTTTTTTCTCTTGGTCTCAAAAAAGAAAATTCTTTGAAGAGGCAGATTTTTATTTTATTTTTTAGTAACAGCAAAATTTTTTCTGTGAACGACGTTAGTGTATATTATACAGGCTGGTAAAGGGCTGAATTGTATGGGCTATAAAAATATTGAAAATTATTTACTAATTTTAAAATTAAAAATTTGTTTTGAGATTTAAGGCAAAAGAGCTTCAAAAAACAACTTTTTTAATCTAGAAATCAATTTATTAGACAAGTGGCTTTTGGTTTTGAAACAGAAAAAACTTCAAGAAACAATTTAAATCTTATATATATTTCATAAGAGCTAATATTACTTCCTAATAAATAAGTGGTTTACTTTTAATGGGCATTAATGGATAATAAGTAAAAATGAGAAAAATTACTTGATCAAACTTTAAAATGATAAATACAGTGTAACGTCCCATATCCGGACGTCCCTTTTCAGGAAGGGTCGATTTCCCGGACACTTTTTAACAATCAAAATAAACAAACATCTCTTATCTTCCCCTCTCTTAAAAAAAAAAAAGTCTTTGGACACGTTTTTTTCTTCTCTAGCTTCTAGTGATTCATGCATTGAACCCACAAATCAACAGAAAGGGGAAGAGAAGACCTCACAAGACCGTTGAGTGACCATAAGTGACGCTACTCAGGAATGCAGGAAAGGAGGGAGATTTGTTTTCAAAAGAGCACAACTGAGTCCCCCCTTCCTTCTTTCCAATGCAGCTGGCTAGTAAAAGAGGCATACCCTGGAACCGTTTTATTAGAGTGAAAGTTAAAGTGGAGGGGGAGTCACTTTCAGTCACACAAGAAAAAATAAAGAGAACCCAATCAGCATGCCGCGCCTTTATGCTTGATTGATAGCCAATGATGGGAGAGAAAATAAGAAATTGTTACTGCTCCGCCCTCAACTTGTATGACAAATACGGAGGAAATGAATTTTCATCTCCACCTACCCACCTTAATGAATGACAGGAATTTCCCCTTCTTGCTTGAATCGTTCTACTTCAAAATAGCGGAGAGAGCAATTAATATTTTCATAACTGTCAATTTTTGTCCCGTTTTCTATATTTTAAGCAACAATTATTTTTTTCTAATAATTTGTTTTTGATTGATTAGATATCATTTTAATACTAAAACATTATTGACCGAAAAATAATGTTTATTTATTTTTTGCTTCTTAGATTCAGATCGTTTTAAGCTTTGTTTACCTTGGGGGTCTATTATACGGAAAAATCTAATATCCGGACTTCCATAAGTCCTACCGATTCCGAATACGCGATTTTCCACTGAATATATATACAAAAAAATTATGTTAATTCTATTAAAAATAGTTAAATATTAGGTATGTTTTTTTAAAATTATAAGTACAATTATATAAAAGTAGACAATGCACCATTATTGGTAAAGAAGCATTTTTTAAGCAAATATTGGAAAATGAGGTAAGATTGATATAATTAATTGTATGTGAACAGGTCTACTTTTTCAGTCACTAGAAATAAAAAAAATTAGCCAAAATTACCCTAAAAAATTTGCTTGTTTCAAAAACGTCCTACAAGCATTGTTATTAATCAGCATAATTACCACAAGCATGAGATTGGGGAAGAAAAAAAACTTATAAGAAAGAATGAAGAAGTCTATCTTTGTGCAACAAGATCGCTAGAGAATTTTTTTATTTTTTTTTTTTTAAATTTTATTTTTAGACATTTGTACTTGTGTCCCCAAACCACAAGAAAGGAAAAATGATGTTGGTCAAATGCATGAACAAGTTACTTTTGCATCTTGCACATGTGAATAATTTCTTTGATTCATTTTAAATGAAAGCTTACAGATAAAGCGCCAGGAATGGCTGCCCCTTGGTAATACTAGAACATAATTCACTAGATTCATACAGATACCCATGAAAAATGCAGATTATTTACAGTAGGTGGAATGAAAGTATCAAACTGTGTCTATGATTGATTTGTGTAAGAATGCTTAGTTGTTCTTCAACAAATGGAATGTGTTAACTGTTAAGAGATAGTATGTTAAGTAATGATCTATTGAAATTAAAAACACTGAATATAAAACCTTCAAAGTTCAAGGTAGTAACAGGGTGCAATTGTTCGGAGGTTAGCCCTAATGTAAATTCTACGATCAGCTCCATAAAAATATGACTGTTTGGGAGTTGTTAAAGGAGGTTTGATTATAATAGAGAAATAGGTCAGATAATATAGCTCATGAAAAATGGTCAAAATATCTAGGAACAATGAATTGTTAGTAATTAAGATTATATTACTATAAAAAATTATATTACTATACTATTAGTACTATAAATTTGAAAAACTTAGATGACAAATCTGACGATAGAAGTATTAGTTTAACTGAAAAAACTTATAGCTCGAAGGTTAATTTTTATCAAATTATAAAATTAAAATTCATTTTGATTAGTTTTTAAAGATTCCAAATAATGCATAATAAATTTTTTTTTTGACAATGTGGTCGTTTTTCAATACTTCTAGAACTGTAACAAAAAGTATGAAAATGATAAAGAAAGGGAAAACAATGAAGAACCATTGATTTTGCACAGGCATAGGGTTAAAATAGCTCCGTAAACTTTTCTTTTATTAACATTGTTCCTAATAATGTGAGATACTTATGATGTGTTACAAGAGAGGAAGTTCCCTTCATTATAAAAAATAGCTTACGTTAACTATGTGAGATGGACCTAAATATCGATTAACTTCTTGATAGTCTGGAAGCTTAAGCCTTCTGAAGAAAGGAAATAATTTTAAGTCTATCTGATATTGGTGGAGGACAAATAAACCAACATAGGGTTGACTTTTTGTTAGTCTGGTGTAGAAGTCAAAGCTTCCAGACCAATAAGGAATATAAAGACCTATCCTGAAAATCTGACATCATTAACTGCAATGCTTATTTGAGACAAATATTTAAAAGCTTTTTAACTATATGATGAATGCTTTTATTTTCAGGGCAATTATATTTTTTAAAAAAAAAATAACTGCTTGGGTGCATTATTTGATAATAAATTTATTTTGTTAGAAATGTTTTTTACTCTATTCTATCATTTAATAGAGGATGGGATAAATGTTTATTATATTGATCATAATTTAAAATTGTAATTTTTAAGCACATTACATACTAATGTATACATTAAAAAAAAAAAAACATGAATTTTTAACCATGAAATGACCAAAGCTTTAAGGATCGGATTAACTGCCCAAAATGTACTCAAGTAATGAAAGAACACAGCGCTATAAATAAAATTTGATTCAGAAGTTAAATCGGACGTACCACTGTCTTAAGAAAACTGAATAAATCCGACGATGCATATGGGGTTGATTAAAGTAAAATTTTGGGGCAGAAGAGCAACAACTGACACTAATTTACACTAGATTTAAATGGCAAATAAATAAATAATAATAATAAAATGAATAAAAAATAATAATAATTTTATCACGAAACTTGTGTTTACATAAAAAATGTAATCCCTTTGAGAGAGAAAATGCAGGGTTAAATGTTTCATATTAGCTCAGGGGTCTGTTTAGGTTTTTCTGAAAGGTACCCATTTTGTGAAAATTTAGACATAATTTGTGAAAATTAAAATTTATATTAAAAAATCAACACAAAAATATGAATTTATCATTTTTTATGGGATACAAAAATAAAATTTTAAGAAAAAGTACTTTGTGAAACTACCGTTTCTTCTAAAGTTGAATTTGTGAAGGTACCGCTAAACTGTAGTAAATCTGGCCTAGACAGACCCCTGTAGCTTCTTATTTGGCTAGAGACTACATTTTTTACTTCTTTTTTTCTTAGGAATTTCTTAAGACTTTTATTTAAGCTTTAAATGGACAACATTACAACAAGTTATACTTATGCCTAATGTTTAAAAAATAAAATGTTTTATGTTCCTTAGTTGAAAGATTCAAAGATAAGTTAACTCACAGACAAGATTATAACAGAAAATTCAAGGAAACAGCAGAAAGCTTAATTAGAGTTATAATTGCAATCAAGTTAATGATTTAAAGAAATTTTTTTTATTTAAAAGTCTAATTATCCCTAAAATTTAAAGAAGCAATCATAAAAACATTTCAATACATAATGCAAGACCAAACACATATTGAAAACATAGTTTACTCACAACATTATTAGCCGTTGAGGATCCGGCACCAGTGTCTTGATTTTCAGTATTTACTGAAGTTCTTTTCCTATTATTAAATATAATGAATTCTTTAAATATTAAGAACAATTGAAATAATTTCTGAATTGATATGAAGGTTTATAAGAGAGACAGCAAATTTCCAATAAATTAATTTAAAAAAAAAGCAGGCATCGTCATGATTAGCAAAATAAAATAAAATACACTGAATAACGTATGATTAACAATTTGAAATTAATGCTCCAGGATGCAATAAATTCATGATACTTTAATGTACTCAATGATTTGAGAAGCACATCTGTTAGCAAGTTATTGCACAATAATTTAAGTTAAATAATCATTCATAAAACTTTTTTCTTTTTAAATATGCAGTTTTTTTCTGTGGGTTCTAATTTTTGACTCAGAGGAAAAGGGCACAATCTAAATAATATGATTCAAGTAATTTAGTTGAAAGATAGGCAAAGATTTCTTTGGCTTATAATGCTATTTTTACTGTTTTTTTTGGAATTGATTTTTTTAAATTTTATTTATTTATTTTTTGCATTTCGATATTACACACAGAATATAGTTTGTTTTACTTTTAATTTCTTAATTTTTATTGATTTTAAATCAAAAAGTATTTAATAATAAACAAAATAATAAATACCTATTAAAAATAATTTTTGACCTGAAATAACCTTTGGACCAAGGAGTTTATAAATAGGTGCAAAAAAGTATAGATTTGGATTAGTTGACAATACAGGTTTAAAAGCAAAAATTATATTATGAATGTCAGTAAAAATTTGGGTCAGTTTTATAAATCGCAGCTGCTTCATTTTTTAGGATTAATCAAGTAATTCAAATTTAATTTGAAAAAACATATTTGCCATCAGAATAATTTGCTCTTAATAAGTTAGACGGGAAATAGATTGAAAATTTGTACCCCTTAGTATTATTTTTACTTTTTGTGTTTTTGTTGGAAATAATTGCATGCATCCATTTTTTGTACTGATTCATAAAACTAGTATACATAAAGATAATGAAATAAATAATAATGAATAAAGATAATGAAATTTTTTGAATAGTAGGATATTAATACAGTGAAACCTTATGTTATGGACACTCCTACAAAACGGACGCCTCTCACTATGGACATATTTTTAATTCCCGCGAATCTTCTATGAGTAAACCATTCGATACATTCTACGCAAAGCGGACACTCCTGTAATTGGAAACGGACAGTCATTTTCACCCTGAAAAGTTATTTTCCATCTCTTCAAATCGGATGCCACATGAATTTGAAGAAAAAAAAAATCTGCTTTAAATTCCAAGGGAAAAAATATGTAATTTCTCACCATTTTTAAAGCATGTAAATTTTTTGCATCATCAATAACAAAAAATATTGTTAAGCTATTTCACTACTAACGAATCAAACTTTCTCCGTTAAATTTGCCTTATCTTTGCAAAAAAAGGAGAGAAAATGATATTGCTCATTCGGATAGCAACATCTTTTGATTTTTTCCTCTGGATCACACAGGTTATGAGACCCCACAAGCTGAAATGACGTCTTAAATGCTCTCCTTCCCGTAAGCGGATAACTCTCATAAATGGACAATTTTTTCCGTCCCAAGAATGTCTGCTTAACCAATGATTCACTGTATTTGCAAACAATTAAAATTATGAAGTGTAACCAAAAGTTATGTAGGATCTAAAAACAAATACCTAAAATGAACTCAAATTATAATAAAACTATATATCTATCGGTGTAGATCAGAGAAAATGGTAAATTGGAAAAATATTTAGTATTTATAGTACAGGGAAACCTTGAAAATACGAATTTCTAAAATCTAGAAACTTCTAAAATTTGTGATGAAAAATAATGAGCTAAATTTATTTCATATTAGAGGCGAAGTGCAAAAATTTGCTTTTCATAATATTATATTAAAAAATTAGCTTTAAAGACCATTTGGAAATATAACTGCTAGAAAAGCAATCAAGAAGACCAGGTAGTGACCAGAGTCACACTTGATTTGTGACAATGAGATAGTCACAAATCAAGTGTCTACTCAAATACACATGTTATTACACTATTGTACTATAAAAAAACATTGGGGTTTTAAAAAATCCATAGCAAGTACTAAGGAGAAATCAAATGCTAAGGATGCATCAATTTACAATGAAGTTGTTGCGAATACAGTAAAATGTGTAAAAAAAAGTAATTACTCAAACAAACTATTCAAAATTCATGTGGCATAATAAGAGTGTATTACAAATAGGGTGGTTTAAAAAAACTAAGTCGTAATTCATAACATGAATTGCTGGATAAAAAATTGAAAACCCAAGTGAAGTTATGATGAAATCAAACGAGTCAAAAAGTGATTACTTCATTTTGTTGAAATTTGAAAGTTGTAATAATAAGATTTAATTGAATATCAGGACTTAAAAAACCACGCAGAAATGCATTGTGATAACTGCCCAAAAATTGAAAGTCAAGACTATAACAATTTATGATTCAATATATACCAATTTAACACATATGAAAAATTTTCATCTCAACGCATCTTGGAATTTGCATATTGTAATATCACATTAATCTATTGAGATTTAAAAAACCATGAGATATTAGTAGAATAATCAAAGAAAAAACAATATGGGTTTACAATAAAATCATGCTTATACTTTGACATTTCCATAAGCTTAAGTTAAAAATTAATCTGGATTTTACGAATTTGAACTGTATAGTAAAAATAGGATGACTTTTAAATCACATACAATCAGACTCAATTTCTTATATTTTAAAGTATTATCTAAAAAATGTATTATTAGTTTTAATAAATTAATTTTTCATATATTATATTGAGTTAAAATTCTAATGATAAAAAAAAGGCTGGGTAAGTGCCAAATTTAGTGCATTTGTATATTTATGTTATTATCTTTTATAATAATGTGGCAAAATAATTAGATTTTAACTTAATTTTTATAAATGTTTATAATTGTTTCCTAAAACTCAATTTATTTTGTATTTACTGTGTAATTGTATAACTAGAAAAGTTAATTAAATAGAACATTAAAACAGGAATTAACATTTAAATTAACATCTTAATGATTATTTCTAAACTTTAACAGAGTGTATGGCTTAACAGGTTGAGATGTTGTTTACATTTAGTAAGTAATCCAAATCAATAACAATAAGACATTAATAACAATGAATCAATGATGTATTTTTAATTGTAAATCAAATTTGAAAATATAGTTATAATAAAGATTTTAAAAAAATACTAACTTTTTTAAGGTCATAAGTTCAGCTCTAAACTCACTGTCAGAATCACTTGAAACAGTGGCTTCCGAGTCAGTAGATGATGATTCAACAGTTTCATATCTCAGTAATCGGTCAAGCAGAAAGCTGTTTTTGAATATACAACAATGGTCATTACACAACCATAATCCTTTTTATAAAAACATAATGTGCATTAATTTTTTATTCATGACAAAAATTCTAAGCCCAAATCAGGTATTAAGTTAAATTTATTTCTCCCAAGCAGGAAAATGGTGAAAGATAAAATATAATGAAAAATTTTCAAAATAAACGGGAATTTTTCAGGTCATAACACACTCATAATTAACATTGATAAAAAACTAAAAAATTTTAACTGTCATTTTAAAGAAAACCTTTGTTTTATTCTTAATTTAATTTCAAATGGTTAAATTTTGAAGATTAATTATTAAAAATAATTAATTATTTTAAAAAATGTTGAGACAGTCAATTATTAAAAGTAAACTCCAAAATTAGTTTTGATTAAGATAAAGCTAGAATTGTTGAAATATTTTTTTATTCAATTAATAATTAAGGCATGAATTAAATCACAATATTTAAAGATAAACATTGGGGATTTTTAATTAATAATTATACTAAGAAAAATAGAGCCAATACCTTTTATCTCGGGAAACTTTGAGCAATTTTCTTTGAGATTTTTTCAATTCATCTTGAAAACATTCATTTTCCTAAAAGAGAAGAATGAGAAGAGTTAACAAATAAAATTAATAATTATTTTAATATGCATAATAAAAAATGAGAGACAAAAAACAGCAAAACTTTTAAGGTAATCATAAAATTATAACACATGTTCCTTTGATTCCTCTTTTTATTAGGTTTTTAAAAAATACATAAGATTTAGACATCAAATGTGAAAAACTGCTTTAGATGATGGAAAACATAAAATACTGAGATACACAGCCAGCAACCTTTGTTCAGTTAAAACTCAGACAATAAGAGAGATGGTGTTGGCCAAAGAATTTTTATATAACCAAGAATTGCTTAAACTAATAACATTTTCTATACTATTCTCACCATATTTAGTTCCTTACTGGAATAGAAATAATTATCCTATTTATATTTGGAACTAAATAATAGGAAAAAATTTTATTAGACAAAAATTTAATTGAATTAAAAGAAGGGATTTTTAGAAGGTATATTTTACATATTTTTAACATTATTAAAATAGTAAATATGGCAGTATGTTTGTAGAACACATCATTATTAATGCTTTAAAATAATTTTTAAATATTGTTTACGCTCTTTAGTTATGACTTTCCACTACAGTGACCGATGCATGAAGTCCTATTCCATTAATGCAACGTTATTTCAATGCCTATCGTAAAGTCCACATTGGATCATTTATTCAAATATAGAGACCAAAAATTAGTTATTTAATTTAGAAAAAGTTTCAAAGACTTATTTAAACCATATTTCCTTTGATGTTACCATACAACTAATGTAAAACATGTTAAATTCTTTATGGATGAGAGAAACAGGGCTGCCACTGGGGTAAGACTTCAAAAATAGTTGCCCTCTTTAACATATTCTTACAATATTTACAAAAAATAATCCATACATATATATAGACAGATACTTACACTTTAAAAAATATATGAAACAATAAGTTAATGTAAAATACACAAAAGCATTAAACTCAATATGTTAATTATGCATAGGCATCATGTTATGCAGATGTTCTCAGAAATTTAATAAAAAATTAAAACATGAAATATTCTCAAAGAAAAATTTACATGCTACGTAATATGCTGTGGAACATAAAGAAAATCCAACAGCAATAGTTGTAAATGTGAAAAAAAAAATATATACATACTTTGAGAAAACACAGGCACTAGTGATCTAGTTGAAATACTGATATATTTCAAAAATTCTGTTTAATTTACAAATGAAAAAAAAAAAAAAAAAAACATTTAATAACAATTAAAAGTTGAATTCAAATTTCATCAAGAATTAAGATACAGTAGAGAACCGATTATCCAGAACGATCGGGACTATCGCTATTCCGGACAACTGATTTTTCCGGTTTTCTGAATCGCTACAAAAAGCCGTTTTTTTAGTGTTAAACCCAACTAAAAAAAAAAATTTTTTTTTTGAAATAATCTTAAAAATAAGAAAAAACGATGAGGTAATACACTGATGATTATTTCAGAAATGATGGTAAGGTAAACATCTTTCAAAAAAGAAAGAAAAATCCTAAAATCTTATGAGGAAATTATTATTATTTTTTTTTTTTAAAATTGCGGAAAAATTTATAGAATTTCATTCCGGTTTTCTGATTTCCGGATAATGGGTTCTGTATTGTATTATTAAACTGCAATGCATAAGTCAAGTGAAAAAAAATAAGTATACTAGAACTAATAAGCATTACATATATTCATTTTTTAGAATATTTATTTTTAAAGTTGCATAAATTTTTTGTCCAATAATTTACTATTGATCAAAATCATTTTCATATTTTTTTTTATTTAAATAGATTTCCATTAAAATTTGTCAGTAACAACTATTAACATTTGATTATAAACATCTAACTTGCTTTTGGCTCTATTTTCAGAAAACATCTTTAATAAGTACAGTACGGAACCCGTTATCCGGAAATCAGAAAACCAAAAAACCGGAACGAAATTCGATAAATTTTCCTGCTATTTAAAAAAAAAATTCTTTTCCTCATAAGATTTTTCTTTCTTTTTTGAAAGATGTTTACTTTACCATCATTTTAGAAATAATCATTAGTGTATTACTTCATCGTTTTTTCTTCTTTTTAAGATTTCTAAATATTTTTTTATTTTCAGTTGGGTTTAACAATAAAAAAACGGCTTTTTGTAGCGATTCAGAAAACCAGAAAAATGGTCCCGATTGTTCCGGATAATCGGTTCCCTACTGTATATAACAAATTCTTTCTATCTTCCCTCAATGAAGTGTGTTGAATCTGTTCTTATGCACAAAATAAAAAGATATTATTTTAAATAACTTGTATTTTAATGATCAAATTTTCTAACTAAGTACATAGATTAATAGTTCAAAAAAGCAGGGCTCGGTTTTGACCAGGACATGGTAAAAATTAGGTATTTACCAGTAAAAACCATGGGGAAAATGGGAAAAACCTGGTAAATACTATTAACTCATGTTTATTTATTTAGAGATATAACGGTTTAATATTTATAACTGATTGGAATATATATTATTTCCATATTATATAACAAATATTGATAATTAAAATACATAAATATACATAATAATAACATTATACATAATATAATATACATGTAGATATATATGTATATCAGCAAGTAACAAACCATTGGACAAGTGATATGATGTAAGCTATCACCTAAATTGTAATTTTAAAACTAATTATTCACATAATCAGGTGAGGCAAATCTTCTCAATATTAAAAACTTAGAAATTTGATACATCTTTTAGATTTTCAATATGATTCAGTAACCATTAATTAAAAATTAAAATCATATTTACAAATAACATTTGTTGTATTATATCATATTATACCTTACGGCTGTATTTATAAACAAAAAATAACTGAATAACTTGAAAGCTCAAATAAGCAGAATTATGGAATTTTATATTAAAAAAAAATAAAATAAATAAATAAATAATTTCTTTTTTTTTTTTTTAACAAAAGAATAATAGGATTATTAAAAAATGAACAGTAGTGATAAGGGCACAGTAAAATAAGGTTTTATCTTTCCAATCTTTTGTCATTTACTCTTTTTTAAAACCAGATTAGGAAATTATTTTTTTTCTATTCATTTCACTTTGTATGTACAATTTTAAGTACAAAATTTTCCCAAATAATCTTTCGTTCAAATGAATTAAAATTATAAATTTTTTTTTTTGTGTAATAAGTTTTGAAACAGCAGAAAAATAACAAAAATGACTATCAATGAGGTTATACATTAGAAATTAAGATAAAATTGTTATCAAGTCAGAAGACCAGACCACTGTCAATATCTATATACGCAAATGTTTTATTTCGGCTAAAAGTTAGGTTAATTTATAAATATCAATATAGGATAAATATTAAATAAATATCTATCGCAAAAACAGGCCTCAGGTAGTAGTTCAGGCAAAAATTGAGACAAGTTTAGGGCAGAATATTCTCTAAAGAAATAGAGCAAGAAGAAAAACTAACTTAGTTATAATTTACAAAACTAAACATCTATCTGAAAAGTTATAATTCACAGTCTGCTTAAGGATGCATTTTTTTCTCAACTTTATCAAAACTAATAAACTAAAATTTTATTCAAAAATGTAAAAAACTTTATTTTATTTCAGAATGACCTTGTTCTATAAAAGTTGTTATTAATTCCAATCATATTTTAACATTTAGAGTACTGAAAAAATTTGCACAGTTGCATTAAAAATAACCGGTAGCTATTAGTTAATATTTCCTTATACCAAAATTTAACTGAATTTGTAATTGAATTAGGGCTTATCCACATACCAGCCCCCAAAAACCTGGGTAATTAATAATAAAAAAAACTTTCTATAAAACCCATTTTTAAGTGGGTGTCTTTATTCAGAAATTATATTTTCCTGTCCTTACTAGAGCTATTATAATTTCACATATTGTTTGAATATTTTTCTTAAATTATTTTACTATTAAGCTAATAATGCTTTAGCTACTTACATATATTAAAAACTTCAGTTTTCTTTTCAGGTTACGATACTTTTGATGATAGTTTTGAGTATCTGGTTCTGAAAATTAAACATTTATTAGTAAAAATGAAAAGAAAAAAAATTAATAATTAAAAAGAATTTTCACAAAACCATTTTTAAGATAGAGTAAAAGAACTGCCAAGCTTTTCATAAGTAAAAAAAAAAGAACACATTAAAAAAAAAAAAATTTATATTATTTTAGTAAGTAAGGTAACAATAGAATTAAGTGAGTAAGTTAAGTACATTCAATTTGCAATAACTTGAATCTGATATGACCAGGGGTCTGTCTAGGTTTTTCTGATAGGTACCTATTTTGTGAAAATTTAGACGTAATTTGTGAAAAATTAAAAATTATATTAAAAAATCAACAGAAAAATATGGATTTATCGTTTCTTAAGGGATACAAAAATGAAATTTTAAGAAAAAGTATTTTGTGATACTACCGTTTTTCCTAAAATTGAATTTGTGAAACTACCGTTTTTCCTAAAGTTGAATTTGTGAAGGTACCGCTAAACGGTAGTAAATTCGGCCTGGACAGACCCCTGATGACTTACACATAATTGTAACCTATTAGATGCTAAACTTAAATACTTATCTTTAGTTCTGGTTTTTGATATTTAGCAATTACTCTGACAATTAATTCATAAGGACATTTTTTTTCTTTATGCTTAGAGTTCTAGGATTATTCGTAAGATTAACTTTGTCTTCCAAGTTGAAAATTTTTTAACTCTCCTTTAGAGGTTTTTAGTAACAGATATTTCTCAAAAACACCTCAGGTAGTTTTCTGTCAGGTTAGAAAAGAGCTTTTTAAACTATAGGGTGACCCGGGGTAATTCAGGATCACTCGGTTTCTGGGGTAAATAATGATCACCTAAATTTTATTTAAAAAAAAAACATTTTTTTTTTAAATTTGTGACATGGACAAGAATGCTTGTACACTTTACTAAAGTATAACTATATTTACCTTATAATAGTTTTTTGTTTAATCTAACAAAATAAGTATCTTTTAAACTGCTTTCGGTATTTTACATTTCAAAAATGGGCTTCAAAATGTGCACATTTCTGCAAAGATCCCCCTCCTTCTCTTAATAATAAATATTTTGAGTTACTTTCTTTTTCTTTGATATAAAAGTAGTGTAAGCTTTTGTTTAATTGTTTCACATCTACTGTAAACATTATAATTGATTATAGGAAACTATATCAAATGTTGCCCCCTACAGATGGGGTAATTATTGATCACTGGGGTAATTCCTGATCATTGTCATTTCTTCTTATAAATAGTATATAAAATAGCTTATAAATAGCTAATTGTCTTTTCTTAAATAACAGTTCATATTTATTAAGTGGAACAACTATAAAATATATTTTAACTGTCATCACAAAATTTGTTTTTAACTGTATACAAGACTGTATTCTGATTTGCACCATTTCTGGTTTGTCTTACCTTGCTTCTATCTTAATTTTATGTGTGTACATTGTTAGAATAATTTTTAAGTTTATAAATTAGCCTAGTATAAATATGGTGAGAAATTATAAGCCTAAAAAGGATACTAAGCTTCTAGAAAGCAAAATTAGTGAATTTCTTTTAATGATTGAAAATGAAAATTTCAGTGTGAGAGCTGCTGCCAGAGCTGTTGACATACCTTACTTAACTTTACACTTTCCTTTAATGAAGTTAAAAAATCCAGCAAAAGTAACTCATGTGGGAACTCTCTTATATTTCAGCCGAACATGAGAATGAGTTGGCTGATTGCCTAAAATGTATGGCACGATGCAAAGATTTTTGAAAATTTAAAGTGTTAATCTTTCTTCTTGCTTTTAAATAAATCGTTTTATTAGCTGCTTAAATACATCTTTTTGGTTTATTTGTTTGATCTTCATGTCTTATTTGTTAATTACCATTATATAATTATTTTTAAACAGCCCCTTTGCAATAAAAACTGGTGATCAGTAATTACCCCAGAAATGATCAAGACCAGGAGTAATTCCTGATCACTAAAAATTTAAAATCTTTTAAATTCTAATTAGATTTTCAAACAAAAGAAGGTGGCATAGGACTCATCTCATATAGCGTCAAATTTCCATTAAATATTAAAATTCTATTTTGAATAGTCTTTTCACAAAATAGATGTTTGCATCTTTTGATCAGGAATTACCCCAAGTCAAAACAATACAGCTTATGTATAAGTTTAGAACATCAATGGGCAGACGCACACACACGTATATATTTAATAAATAAGTACATTAGGATAATCTCGTCGTTCATTTTCACCAAACGTGATATTATCGCCAAAAGGTAGGTTCTGCGCCAATAACCGCAAATATTATCATATTTACAGAGTATTTCTTGACTAAGCGAGTTAGTTTTCTTTAACAAGTTGAAATACACTGTTATCTCACACTGCTGCAAAATTATTTGAATTTGGGATTTGTTTAGCACCGAAGAGAGTGCAAGGCAATTGTTTGCGTTTTAAAAGCTATTAGGGATTTTTGGCCACAGAAATGATTTATAATGTTTAGAATTGGTCAGATTCAAGAATATTTCAATGAGTAATTATATATAAAAAAATTATAGGATTTTACTCTTTTTATTACACTTTATTACGCATTTTTAAACTTAAATTTTTGTTATTATTATTAATATTTCACAAATTTAATGTGTTTAAAAAGTTTATTCTGGAAATTGCTTTTTATTATGATGGTGCCAAAGCATTTGTGCATATTCCCAGCATTGACGGGATAATCCCAAAGTACCAATAATAATAATCTTTAAAATAAATTTTTTCAAAACGTGATTTTTTTTAAAAAATAATTATTAATTTTGAAGCTTGTTTGCTTAAAATGAACCTTTAAAAATTTAAATGTTATAAAATCATTTTAATTGCAGTTTATTGATTTGAAGGAAACACAGTAAGTCAAATTTTTTTGTGATGACTTTATCATAAATATTGATAATGAGTTTTCTGAAACTGCATTAGAGAATGAGTTTTCTGTAACTGTATTAAGAATGAATTAAACTTTCACAATATAAGGATTCAATTGACTGTTGCTTTATAAATAATAAAGTTCATAATTGAAATACTTCATTTGCTTCATAAATTAAGTGGAATAAGTATAAATATTTTGAGTGCTCAAATATGGGGGCCTATTCTCAAGATCCACCAGGTATAAAAGGATAAAGCAAAAAAAAATTCAAAAAAAAAATTAAATAACTAAAAGAAGAAAAAAATTTGCCACAATAAATGGAAAATAAAATAAATGTGAAAAACAAAATCTGAAAAACAGTACTTGAAAGGCAAATGAATTTGGATAGAATGTATTTCAAAGTGTTATTAAGGTTGGTAAGGATTTTGAGTAGTTAACCAGGAAATCAACATTTATATGAATGAAACAAAATTCCAAAGCATCAAGATTTAATCTTGAAAATAATAGTAATATATCATTCAATTCTTAGATAAAAAAAATAGTAATTCCTAAAAACATACCAATACAATTTGAATTTTTTCAACAGCATTTATCTTCATTTAAACACAATATCACAGCATCATCTATTTTCTTTATTTTTGTTTAGCTTTTTCAATGAATTAAATCTTTTGCCATCTAATAAACTGCAGCTCGTTGCATTGTGTTTCATTGCAAATTTAAGTTTTGTACAAGTTAAAAAGGTTTTCTTGGTTCCATGGTGGTTTCAATGTACTTATTAGTTTAATTGTTGCCTTGTACGAAAGATTGTTGCTTTGTTGGTTTCAATTTTTCAATTTTAATAATTTTTCTATCTTCTTTCTCATTAAAAAATACTAACTAACTCAGTGGCGCGACAGCCCATTAAGAGGGCCAAGGCCGACTGTGCCCATCTCAGTTTTCTTGACCTTGGGCTCTGGGGTGCAGGAGCATATGTTCCGGTCAGGTGGTCAGCCGAACGCGGAACCCCCAGTGTTAGTTCCCAAGCATGCTTGGTACTCATTTTATCGACCCACTGAAGGGATGAAAGGCTGAGTCGGCCTTGCCCGGCCCAAGGATCGAACCAAGGACCTGTGGCACGGCAGCGCGAAGCGCTACCACTCAGCCACCGGGCGTTATTAAAAAATACAATGCATAGAAAAAAGGTTAATAATTTTAATAATGCTAAAATAACGACAAAAAAGTTTAGTTTGCAATAATTAATATTCTTTAAAAAAAATTTCTATTGAAACTTAAACCAACTGGTAATAATGAGAAGAACAGATTAGAAATGTAATTTACATAATGATAAAAAAAGTAACATAATAATAGTAATAAGATAAGAACACTTTAATGTATAATTATTTTATGTACTTAATAAACTTATTCTTAAAAGTATAACAATTACTTTTCGAAATAAAAAATATTAAGTTACCTGATGATGGCATTCTCATTCCAAATAATTTATGCTTTACTTCAGCTGAAAAAAACATGTAAATCTAAATATTTATATAAAATAAAACTACATTGTACACAAATAGATGTCATTAATAACAATTTTGGAAAGTTCAACAGAATCTTTTCTAGATTCTGTTTATTTAAGTTATACTTTCATACAATCTATCTATTCATTTCAACAATGATGATTCAAATTCAAAAAGAAAAAGTTATCAAACATTATCCATCCGATAAAAGAAATAAAATTGAAAAAACAGGGTCCTTTATTAGTATTGTCCTATTATAAAATAATGGCAGCAAATTTTGACGTTTCTAATTTAGACAAAATTAATGTTTAGAACAGGATTTGCAAAACCAAGGCAATGGTTATTATTAAATTGAATGATTGATTTTATTTCAATTGCACAAAATTGTTTACTTTTCAACTATTTTATAGAAATATTCATTCATAGGTAATTTATATTATATATTGTTAGTTAACTCTCTAATAATTTGGTACATAAAACTAGGATTTTGACTAGAAATCTTTTCAACTTAAAAGTTTTTTTTAAAATGGAGAATAGAGGAATTTTAATTTTAAAATTTTATTGCATGTCTTAAAAACCAAAAACATATGTTCAGTAAGCCACATATGAGGTTGCAATAATAATAATAAAAAGACATGTTCCACTAGAGAAACAGTTTTATGCAAAAAAGACAGAAAAGAAATGCAAATGAAATAAAATCAAATTTGTCAGAATGCACTTGTTTAATATGGTTTAAATATTAAGTTAAAAACTTTATAATTCCAATTAAATTTTTTAAAACTTTTTACATGAGAACACTGATAATGACAGTTTGCAAGAAGTTACAAAATAAATAAAAAAAGACTATTAAAAGTGATTTAATGAATTGAAATTAAAGTTGCCATTTGTTGAAATTAAATTTAATGAAGATATGAAAACTACTAAATATGGGTATATACAGTTAAATCTAAATAAGTTGTATACACCACTCATATATTTTAATTATAGACTACTTGAATAAAGCTACTCTTAAAAGAGAACTCATTCATTCTATTAGAATGATTTTTTAATGAAATAACCTTATAAGAACACAGAATTAGACAATTACAATTTTGTGCCTAGAATATAATTATACTTTACGACAGTTAAGCATAAATACATTTATTGGAAGTAGGAACGTGATGAATTACTTTAGTGAAAGTTCCTTTATTTTATGAACTGTTAACATGCTTCGAAAACATATTAGACAATATAGCTCTTAACAAATAAAACTAGCGTTTGTCTATCTCTTATCTTATTAATTATTCTATAATTAATTTTATTATTATTTTCTATCTCTCAGTAAACAAATATGTTTTCTAGAAGCCAAGTTTTCTATTATCCAAGGTACGAGCGAAAGTCGAAGTAGAGGAAAATTCAGCGTGATATTTTACAGAATGTTCCTTTCAATGAGATTTTTCAGTTTTGAAGTTTAATATCAACCAGTCAATGAATTTGAGCAACACTTAGAGAATAAACCGTACAAACCGTATAATCTTTGTTTCCTTCGGAAAATAGTTCAATGTATTGCCACTTTATTTTCATAATATTTTCATTAACGTAATTTTAATTATATTTCAGTAATATGAAATTTTATTTGATGAACAAATTCATAAATTTAGTATAATATAATATTTATTTGAAGCATTCATTTTAGCTATCATATGAAGGAAAAGTAGCATGTAAATATTGATTAACTGGGACCACGTTAAATAGTTTCGATCTCACTTTTGTGTTTATTTACTAACGACCTGTCACGGAAACAAAGTTAATTGAATCATGTCATCGTAATACAGTAATAAGTAGTGATATAATATTAAAAATTAAAGTCAATGGCTTCTTCCAACGAAGCCAAATCGCAGTCTAACTGCTACAATATTTGCACTCAGTCGCAATTACCATGGGGTGTACGTAAAGAAAGACAGACTTTTCCATCAGGTATAAATATTGACATTGAAGTGAAACCTGGTGAGTTTATTTTACGAACTTTATTTGCTGAATTCACGGTGCAAGCAGAGCGAAAAATAGATCTTGTTTTAGCTGAATCTTTGGAACGACCTTTATCGAAATCTTTACAAAGGGGCGAAGACCCACTTTTCGACCAACTTTTAAGTGCTTTCGGATCAGTTGCTGAGCATTGCCTACCATCGCTGTTACGCACTCTTTTTGCGTGGTATGAAAGACAAGGTGTTGATTCTCCTACATCTCTTGAACTAAGAATAAGAGCTGATTCTTCAAAGGGCAAAAATGAAACCCAAGAAAAAACCGAGAAAGATTATCTTCATGAAAGAAGAGACCTTGCTGTTGAATTTATATTTTGTTTGGTGCTGATTGAGGTTTTAAAGCAGCTATCTGTCCACCCTGGGCATGATGATTTGGTCAATTATATTGAAAACCTAGCCTTCAAACATTTCAGATTTAGAGAAGGAGCTCAGTCTGGACCAAATGTTCAGAATGCAAATATTATAGCCGATCTTTATGCTGAAGTGATAGGAGTGCTAGCTCAGTCCCGTTTCCAGTCAGTTAGAAAGCGTTTTGTGGCTGAACTGAAAGAGCTGCGGAGTAAAGAGCCGAGTCCCATTGTCACACACAGTATTATTAGTTTGCTAATGGGAATGAAGTTTTTCAGGGTTAAGATGGTACCAATTGAAGAATTTGAAGCATCCTTCCAATTCATGCAAGAATGTGCAACATATTTTCTTGAAGTAAAGGATAAAGATATCAAGCATGCTTTGGCAGGTTTATTTGTTGAGATTTTAGTGCCCGTTGCTGCAACTGTCAAGAATGAAGTTAATGTACCATGTTTAAAAACTTTTGTTGAGATGCTCTATTCACATACTTTAGATTTATGCACGAAGAAGAAACATAGTTTGGCTCTTTTTCCTTTGGTTACTTGTTTGCTATGTGTTAGCCAAAAGCTATTTTTCCTTCAAAATTGGCATTACTTTCTAGCCATGTGTTTATCTCATCTAAAAAACAGAGATCCAAAAATGTGCAGAGTTGCTTTAGAATCTTTATACCGTTTGCTGTGGGTTTATATGATACGAATAAAATGTGAGAGCAACACTGCAACACAGAGTCGGTTACAAAGTATCGTTAATTCTTTATTTCCCAAAGGCTCAAAAGCTGTAGTGCCCAGGGATACACCATTGAATATATTTGTTAAAATCATTCAGTTCATTGCCCAAGAAAGATTGGACTTCGCAATGAAGGAAATAGTATTTGATCTTCTCTCTGTGGGTAGACCAATCAAGATAATACTGACTCCTGAACGTATGAGTATTGCTCTTCGTGCTTTCTTAGTAGTTGCTGATAGCTTGCAGCAAAAAGAAGGTGAGCCTCCTATGCCTAGAACTGTTGGTGTTTTACCATCTGGAAATACTCTTAGAGTAAAGAAGACTTTCCTAAACAAAATGCTTACTGATGAGACAGCTAGAACCATTGGAATGTCTCATTACCATCCTTATGTGAGAAAAGTATTTGACGATATCTTAAAAGCACTTGATGTTCAGTTTGGGAGACCTCTAATGATGACAACTGTTCAAAACATTAACAAAGAGCCTGATGATATGATTACAGGCGAAAGAAAACCAAAAATTGATCTTTTCCGTACTTGTGTTGCAGCTGTTCCAAGATTGATACCCGATGGTATGAGCCGCCACGACTTAGTTGATTTACTTTCTCGATTAACGGTTCACATGGACGAGGAGCTTCGAGCTCTAGCGTTTCAGTCGCTTCAAAATATGACTCTAGATTTCCCAGACTGGAGAGAAGATGTCATTTACGGTTTTGTTCAGTTTGTGTTACGTGAAGTTAATGATACATTTCCCCAACTGTTAGACAATGCTCTTCGTATGCTTCTTCAGTTTCTCACCAATTGGAAAAATGCATTGACTTGTCACTCTCAAAATTCACTTAAAAAAACAGCCCACGAACAAAATAAATTAGATCACTTGTGTACAGTCTTGCACTTGGTTGAAGCAGTGGCTTTGGTTATGCTTTGCCATTGCAGGCTTCCACCACGCCGACTTTCCGTTCACATCTTAAAAGAAACTAAAGCACTGCTTAAAATATTAGTTCCAACCTGTGAAGAAGAAAGCGTAGCAGAAACAATTGATCAGTGTTGTCCTTTTGTTGCAGAAAAATGTCTCCCACTCTTACCTCCCGCTGAAAAGGCAGCTTTACTATCAGCATCTCACATTGATCTTCAATGGTTGACCGAGAGAAATAGTTCAGCCTGGACATCTGGCCTTCATGATACCACTGAAGGCTCAAATAAAATTTCTAGTAATTTAGAAATTTCAGAAAGTTCAAGTTTAGATCCATGGTGTGTTTGTCTTCTTGGTTTCATTGATAACAGTAGTTTACTGAAAAACTGTTCAACAGCAATAGCTCATTCATGGCCTATTATTTATTCAAGAATAACTACTCTTTTCTCTTACTTGGATCTTAATCCTGTCAGTGATAACAGAGCCTCATTGTTAAGACCTACAGTGGTGAAAAAGGCTCTTAATGAAAGAGAGCTTCATTTAACATTGTGGCGAAATTATCTCATGTTCGCCTGTAGAATCGCACCACCAAATTGTATTCATTCACTCCGTTTCATTACTCCAGAGTTGAGTCTCAGCTCTTCTCCAGATAGCATAAGTTCCGAAAGGTCTGATAGCAGATCTCCAAGTAATACCAGTGTGCATGTTTCAAGCCTTTTCAAACAGATTACACCACTCCTTAGAAGTGAGCAAGCTGATATGAGAGATTCAATTGTATTTGGTTTGTCTAAAGTGAACCATTTAGCTGTAAAAGATTTAATGGAAGAATTGGTCATTTACATAAGAGAAGCAATCGATCGCAAGCAAGAAAATGTTAGACGCCGAAGGCGTCGAGATGTTCTCCGAGTGCAACTTGCTAGGGTATTGGAGCTGATTGCTGAACAAGGAACGTTTGGGATTAGCAACAGTGTTCTAGACAGAGATGCATCCTCCTTAAACACTACCTTTGTTGAATACATTGATGGAGCAAGGCTTTATTTAGAAACTGAAAATGATAAGGATGTCCCTAGTATAGTTCAAGAAATTAAGCAACATTTTTGTGGCTTTATACATAAGTTGATTAAAAGTTTTTCACTGGAAAATCGTAATAATCTTTTAGGGTGCGATTTAAGAAGAAATTTGTTTTATCTTTTTGCTACTTGGAGTGGAAAGTATGGTTCACATTTTAGCTTAGGAGATAGGAAGAACATTAAGGAGGAACCTATCTCTGATTTTGAGTTTTCTGCTCTACAAGCTATGTCTGCAGTTTTATGTTGTGGTCCGTGTTTCGACCCGCAAGGCCTCGGAGAAGAAGGTCCATTTTATGCATGGTTAAATAGCTTGTTGAATTCTAAAGTGGATAAAATTTATCAATTAGGACAAGAAACAGTCGTACTACTTTTGGAATTTAATTCAGATTGTGGAGCATTACTTGACTGGCTTGTAGATTGTTGCTACACTGGTGAAGTTCAAATGGCTGATGGTTGTTTCAATGCTCTTGCAACCATTTTTAGTGTAAGAGAATATCCATGCGATCATTACATGGCTATAATAAATGTAACGTTACTGAACACAGGTTGTCCCAGAAGTAAAATTCAAGAAACAGCCTTTCAGCTTTTACAGATTTTAGATCATAGATTTTTTGGTGCTTGTACATCAATATCAGTTGATGGGGAGACTGATGCTGTAAATAGAAATGTTGTGCTAAGGAAGAAGCCTGCTCAATTTTATGATGCACTGTTTTCTTCTGGTTACCCTTGCTCACAGATGCAGCTTTCACATCATCTAGCTCAATTGCATCCGGAATTGACGATGCCTATTTTCTCTGAGATCACATACCGACTTCAAACTGCTCGACCGCCTGTTAGACAAAATCTATTGCAATATGTTTTACCTTGGCTGTATAACATGGAATTAGTAGATCCTAACATCAATCACTGCAGTCCTTTGTCCCATTTAAATCGCATACAAGAGTTCTGCTCCACTGAGACATGTCAGAGCATTGCTTTGGAGCGTAGAGAAGGTTGGGGATCTGCAGAAGCTACTGAAATGGTTCTGAATAATCTTTTTTATATAACTGCAAAATTTGGTGATGATCATTCTCATGAAATCGAAGACTTGTGGGCATCTTTATGCAAGTGTTGGCCAAATAATTTAAAAGTTATAATTCGTTATCTGTTTATTATTACAGGACTTGCACCCAATGAATTATTAGTTCACGCAAAGCGGGTTGTATTGTTTATGGCAAAAGCCAGACCTGAAAAGCTTTTGGATGAAATGATGGCTGATATGCAGACAGTAGAGACTTTAAATTGCCTTATTGAAAGAACTGAAACTCCACCCTTTTTCAGAGTTACAAGTATTCGAAAAGAAAGTAGCCATTCAGATGATGGCGGATCAAGTTCCCAACCAGATGCCCCTCGTAGTGAGGTCACTCTGGAAAGAGGAACTCTTCATACTAAACGCCATAGTACTGAAAGTGGTTGTGAGAAAGACAGTCAAATTCGTAAGGATGCCTGTTACTCTGAGCCAGTTCAAAATTCATGCAGTGGAGTGAATCAGCCAAAAAGTAATCCAGGGCCATCTTCTTTGACTGCTAGTGATGATGGGCAAAATACCATCATTTCTTCAGTGGAAGAAGATAATTTTCTGCTGCTGTGTCATGTCCCACCTGAAGATAATATCAAACCAGAAACTCCCCAACCACATCCATTACCTATGCCCGAATTTGGCGGTTATTACGCTCCATTAACTGAGTTTTTACCTGATAGCTCACAACCTGTAACTGGATTTCACAGATGCAATTTGGCAGTTATGTTATTGGTAGATGTTTTAGATGGTATAAGCATTGATTGGTCCCCTCATGTTCCTTTAATGCTGCACATAATATTTCTCGGTTTGGATAATACTCGCGCACTTGTGCATGAACATTGTAAAACACTTCTTCTGAAGTTGCTTATTGTTTTAACAAAGCACGAGGACCATTTAGGAGTTGCTAGAATACTTTTAAATAACAAAACCAGAGAATTAGGGTATGGTTTACCTCTCCAAACATTTGCATCAAAAATAAATTTTACCGAACAAAAATTGTTTGAAGAGATCATCCAAAAGGAAACTATGAACCATAAGAGATCATCTGTAGAGGATACTGAATCAACTTCTAGCAAGGAGCAAGATAGTGGATCTTGTGAGACATTGGCTATTGAAGAAACTGCAATTAATCATATTTTTGAGATGAATAAAATAGCTCCCAATGTGGAAGATACCATCAAGTCATTAATAGATTATTTAGCATCTAAAAAAGGAAATGCCTTATGGAGTTATGAGGATATTACTTCAAAAGTATGGTCTGTTAAAAGTGCTGAGCAATTATCCTCCTTTTTGCAGCATGTTCTTTATGTATTTAGAGAATCAATTCCAATGGCTCACGTTCAAGATCGATGGGCTCAAATAGCCCTTCAACTAGCCCTATCATGTTCATCGCGTCACTATGCTGGACGTTCTTTGCAAATATTCCGTGCTTTAAAAGTTCCATTGAATGCTCGTATGTTGTCTGACATTCTTTCTCGTCTTGTAGAGACTGTTACTGAACAAGGTGAAGATATGCAGGGTTATGTAACTGAACTAATGATTACTTTGGAAGAGGCTATTGATTCTTTAGATTCTGCATCAAAAATTAGTGATATAATGAGAGACTTCTTTAAATCCACTCCCAATTTAAATAAGGAAAGCAATAGAAAAAGTGCACCTCCTATTACTGTTACTCACCCAGGACATTCTTCTGGCTCTAGCAATCCTCTTCCAATTTCTGTAAATCATCAGCGAAGTACCTCTTATTCAGGTAGAAAATATCCGGATTCTCCGACAATTGAAATTAAAGACATCCGTAATCGGAGTAATACAGATATCGATGTGCGATTGAAAGCAAATAACTTGGGTAGATCTAGAAGTGCCCAGTCTCTTAAAATGGCAGATGAACAATTTTCACAAGAAGACAGAATGGCTTTATTAGCTCAGTTCTTTTGGATTGCTGTGTCTCTTTTAGAGTCTGATTATGAATATGAGTTTTTATTAGCCACAAGACTTTTAGAAAAAGTAATGACAAAATTACCTTTGGAACGAACTGATTGCCAAGAGAAGTTAGAAAAAATACAGATGCAAATTAAGTGGTCTAATTTTCCTGGTGTGCATGCCTTGCTACTGAAAGGATGTGCATCTCCCAATACATTTGATGCAACAATAAAGATAATAACACAGTTTACAGCACTGTTAGACATTCCTGTTGTTGACCCATCTGAATCATTAGCATTTCCATTCCATGTAATGGCCTTGTTGCCATACTTGCTATTAAACTATGATGATCCAAATACTCTGTGTATAAAAAGTGCTGAAAATATTGCTCAAGTTTGCATGGAAAAATCAAAGAAATTAGAAAATTTGGCTACTGTTATGATGCTCTATAGCCGTCGATCTTTTAGCAAAGAGAGCTTTCAGTGGACCAAATGTGTAGTAAAATATTTATATGATGCTTATTGCCACGTGTTTCTAACACTCATTACCTTCTTAGTCGAAATTCTTGAAAAAGGTTCTCAAAACTTAATTCCCCATGTTTTGGGTATTTTGTACTGTGTTTTACATTATTTAGATGTTACATGTTCAGTGCAAGCAATAAATTCTGATTTGTTGAGGGTTATCTCCAGATACATTGAAGGACCTCAGTGGAAAGATGCATTGAAAATATTGAAACTTGTTGTCACTCGATCATCAACTCTTGCCGCTCCTCCCGCCCCTTTCAGTATTGGATCATCTGCTGCTGATTGTGTCAGCATCGCATCAAATACATCTTTTGTAGATTCAGAGTTTGGCAGTAAGAGAGAATTACCTGGGAGAACAATGGAATTTACTATTGATTTATCTCAAACTCCTGTTGTTGGGCAACGCTATCTTCTGAAAGATAGTCCAAAAGATGGAGAGAAAGAAGGATCAAGTGCATCCCCTAGAAGAAGTTTGTCTCATAACCATTCATTCACAGAAAATGGTTCTGTCGGTTGGAAACGGCCTTGGCTGTCCCAAGCTCGAACAAGAGAGCATCTCATTGGCCTGCTTACTAGCTGTGGCCAAAGAGTAGGTCTTCCCAAGAGTCCATCAGTTATATTTAGTCAGAATAGCGATATCATTGAACATCAATCTTCAATGTGCAGTAGCACTGAAGAGATATCTGCTACCAATAATGAGTCTGCTGATAGCAAGCTAGAAGATGGTCATGCTGATCATGCCCAGTTTGGTGTTTTCAAAGATTTCGATTTCTTAGAATACGAATTAGAAAGTCAAGAAGGAGAGAGTATGGATAATTTCAACTGGGGTGTGCGTAGGCGTTCATTGACTAACTATGATGGAAGTACAGATGATGTTTCAAAACCTAAACTCAATTTGTCAATGAGTAATTCCACTTTGAGCCCCCGTAAAGAAGAATCATCTGATGATGAAATAGGAAGTGTTTCTCCACTTGATGATGTTCATCCTGATATGCCCAGTAGTAGCAGTGGCTATGTATTTCCACCAAGTTCTCTTCCTTTGTCTGAACACAGAAGAAGACCAATAAGTCCAGCTTCTGTATCAACTCACAGTTTAGCTAGTGATGGAGATTTAACTCTAAGCAACACATCGCCTAGCTTCTCGCCATTAGCTGCTATCCACTTACCTCCTGGATCAGAAGATATTGAAGATATGTGGAGAGCTCATTTGCACGATTTGATGTCTGATGGAACTGGAACTGTAGCCTCTAACACCTATCAAATTCTCTCTCGCTTATTTAAAGAAATGTTCAGGAGAGTTACAAGATTGACCAGAGAGTGCTGTCAAATGATATCTCACATGGATGGTTTCCGAGGGGTCGCATCTCATTTCTTAACTATGCTGGATGTGCTTATCAGTCAGGTGGAATGTCCTTTTATTTATATCGATCCTGAAGTTATGCAACTGGTTGAAAGGCACAAATTTTGTGTCCTTGAGATACAAGAGCACTGGGAAACCTTCCTTGAAAAGCAAGAGCATACCATGGAATGTATGGATGCTATGAAATCTGCACTTAAACTGGAACAGTTAGGGGAACCTATTCCAGATGGTTCCATTGAAGAACATCGAATTGATCTTTGTAGGTGTCTCTATAAGCTACACTTTCAGTTACTTCTATTACTAGAAAGTTATGTTAAATTATTATCTTTACTGACAGGAAGAGTTCAACAAGTACATATCGTTGATCTTTCTCAAGACATAACTTCTGTTAAGAATGATGTCGTACGAGCAGTCGAAGACACAGAAAGTGACAGATTATCTCCAACTGAACAAACTGACATTTCCTCGCTTTCTCAACATGAGGCAGAAACGATCTTTTTGGAGTTGGTTCACACACGAAAGTGGGGAAAAGCAATTCGGCATTTGCATTGCTATCGTACCATGTTTCCAGGCTCTTTGTTTGGACACTCTGAAGAAGATGATGTTGATGTTATTCTTGGGATTTATGCTAAACATCTGTGTGAGAATAGAACTGGATATTTCATGATGTCCCAAGAGGAACACGACATAGCTCATGTATGTCGTCAACTTATGGACATAAGTCTCCAACTGTCGTCAGTTTTGCATAATCTTGAGCACTCACATCAAGATCGTCAACAAGACTCTTCATTTCGAAGATCAGAATGTTGAAACATTAGCTCTTAATGTAACCCATTTACAATGATTAAGACTAGCACATATTTTGAATGTATTTATTAACTTGCTATCCACTTTCGTTGCTTACTTAGGTTAAATGAAAGCTTAATATTGAAATTAGTTAGAAAAAATATTTTAGTTGACTTGGTAAACTATTAATAGGATCACTGAACTTTATTGTGAGTTGTTCATTGAACATTTTATAAATTTAAAATTGATAAAATAAAGAGAAAATTTCCATATCAATACCCACACCAAATTTAAGGCAGTGTGCATTGGAAAAATAAGTCACCTGTCAGCAAGCTACTGTTTATCGGTATATTTTAATTAGTTCCAAGTTCCAGAATTGAAAGTGACATTTAGGGATTGCTGTTGATATATGGAAATATTCTCATAATTAAAGTACTCACAACTCTAAAGAATTTTTTTCTACTGCTTAATGAACCATGTGTTCAATCGTCCAATTTATTAGTTAAACCGCATCTATATATGTACATTTGACAGATCTTTTTTATATGACTTCTGTTGTTTATTTATTTTTTTACTTACATTGCGTGTAATGGCTTCGAACTTCATATTTAACTTTACTGTAGTTTTTGCAGGACTTAGTTGTTTTAAACTTTAACAAGTTGTACTGAAATTGGAGGCATATGCAAGGACGAATTAAACTTAGTCTGCGGCATGTAATTTCCGTTTAACAATTGCAGCTTTTGATTTATAATCCTAATAGTTAGGATTGTCACACTTACAGTTATAATTGTCATGACCACTGCTCTTGATTTCACTTTCTAAGAAGGTATATTTCTATGTTAAATAACAAAATCTTCATGGATAAATATTCTTTAGGTGTTCACTTAATTACCTTTTTCTGTGCACATATCAATTTTACAGGAACTAACCCTTTAAATTTATCAAATTTGCATCTTGATATATAGCAATATTTAATGTTTTTTCAATTGCTTTTCATGTTATTTTTTTTATTATAATTTGATTTAATAACTTCAAGGAACTGTAAAACATACTTAAAAAGTGTTAAATGGAGTATATGGAGAAATAACACTTAAAAAGCATTTACAGTCATATATTACATGATTAGAATTTTAATCAAATAAAATTAGCAAATCATAGAACAAAACTGAATTTAAAAAGAGTAAAAAATTATTCAGTCACTTGAAGTAATTAGCTGCTTACAAGCTTAAAAATCAATTTTCTTAAAAGTAGAAGATAAAGAAAAAGTTACAAACTTACACTTTAATTAACTAAACACATAAGTTTAAATGTAGACCATAATTTTAGTAGAACACCATTAAGCTAAAACTCAACTGTATTATGAAATGGAGGAAAAAAACTGTTCTCTCTTTATTTCAAAAGTTGTTCATTAAATAATTTCATGCGTTCTTTGTATCGATTCCTCAAGTATATAGGTTTGTCTTCCATAATACTGTTCCTAAAACATTTGCCAAAGTTTTTTTCTTATCATGTGTGATCCAATTTTATTTCATTTCTGGATTTTTCTTGCATTGTTAAAACATGTAAAAATTACAATCAGGAAAATGTGAGCTTGTAGTAATGCCATCATGGGTAACAATCATGTCAATTCTGTCTTTTTTAAACATTCATTGTAATAAGTATTGGCATGAGTTAGAACATGTAATGATATATACTTAATTACTCTATGTTTTGTTCTTAATTATGCAATAATTTGATTTAAATGCAGAAAAAAAACAATGATGCGAGTTCATTTTGTTTTAACTTAATTAAAGGGGCATGAAACTCATTTTGTCCCAATTCCTCTTCCTACAATATTAAAATATTTTGTATGGTTTGTACGCTTCTGAAACTTTTTAGAATTTCAAGTTAGTCAAAAACATAGGGAATGTAAAATCTGTTGTTGAAAACTTGGAAAAAAGTTTATAATCTGTAGTAAAAGTTGATAATCTCTAACTTTTTTTTTTAGAAATTTTTTTTAAATAAATAAATCTACATGAATATTCTCATATATCATAACTAATATGCTATGTTTTACATGTATTACTTTTTTAGACTTATCATTTTGAAAACACCTGGGGAAAGGTGATAATTTTCTTTTCAAGGAAAATAAATGTAAGCAAATTATCAGTTTTTAAAGAGCTTTTGTAATCTTATTTCTTGAATTATGTTCTGATTTTTTTCTTCTATGTAATAAACTTAGACGAATACTAATAAACAAATCAATCATGAAATTAGATATCAAAATGATTTGTGCATCTTCACTTTGCTGACCCGCACAGGTAGGGTACTCACTAATGTTTTATAATATTTTCTGCGTTTAATTGTACCTTTTTTTTATACATTGTGTGTGTTTGAAATCAATCATTCGATACAAAAGAAATATAATTCTAGAACTTATAATATTAAAGTATTTATCATAGATAGAAAATGTAGAATAGTAAAGCCTGACTTTCAAACTATTAAGAATGTTTGTGTGAATTGTATACCGAGTTAGTGTTTGTCTGGTAAATTTGGAGCTTTCAATGTCTCCAATTTTTAATAAGAATTTTAATAACCCCTCCAATATTTAATTGTACTTTGTCTACTTGATCCTTCAATATTTTATTTTAATGAGGTGCAAATGGTTTTAAATATTAAACACAAAATAAAAGTAAGTGATAAAATTAGATTTAGTGTCAAACTCTGTTAATTAAAAATGAAATAGAGTTAATTTTTCTGAAAAAAAATTTAAATATATGTAATAACTCATTATTCAATGAATTTATAGAACTGTCCATCCATTGTGTGGTGACAATTGAAGATTAGTTTAACTAAGGATTAATTTAGTTAGAAATAAAGTTAAGGTAGTTTATTATTGGCAGGGAAAAGACATTGACATTGTGTTGATGGATTCTTTAGCACAATGACATTTTAAAAAGTGAATTCATCAATGATCAATTGTTTTCTTACGTTGGATGGTCAGTATTAATTATTATTGCTTATTTATTTGAAGGGAAGTTTTCAGTCAGTTAAAAACTTACATTTTATGTTGTTTTACTTTGTGAGACCATAGTTTATATTTTAATCTACGTCAAATTTATTAATTACTTCCTAAGACTGAATGATTTTCTTTATTTTAATTGATGTAATTTTTAAATTTTTTTTAATTTTTAGGTTTAGGATATTTTATTTAGGTAAACCCACTGTTTATATTTTGCTTATATAGGTACATTAAATTTGTTGTTTTCATCTGTTTTTTATTCAATAACTAAATTCAAACTTACTTAATTCTTTTAAATATTTTAGATTCATAGGATCTTACTTAATCATTCAAATTCCTGATTTGAAATTTTAACCTGATTATAAATATTATACTCATTTCCTATAAACATATCAGTATATAAAACAATTCTAGCTCTACACCTCTAATTAAATTATCAAAATTGATTTTTCTCATCTTATGATTAATTAGTTATGAACTATTTGGAGATTAAAGTAATTATTATAAATTTATTACTATAGTGTAATAGTTTTATTAAACAGTTATCTGAAAATTTATTTACTGACCTTTATTTTAAAATCAAATTTCAGCTACCCCGTCCATAAAAATTTTCTGTGTCTCTGTGTCTGTCAAAGCAATAAAAAGTAGTTCATGTAACTAACATTCCACAATTTTTATGTTTTTATTTTAAAAGGTATGTATAATAGCTTGTAAAAATATTTTAATACTTCAATCTTAAATATTAAAATAAAGAGTGATAGTTTAAAAGAAAATTGTTTCTTTTATTTTCTAATGACGTTAAATTATAAAGAGGTAAATATGTAATTAAAATTTTGATGGTTTGTAGCACATAAACTAAATATTCTGCAATGGTTTTGAGCCAGATTGTTTTTATTTATTTTGTTTCTTTCATAAAATTTATTTGAAAGACTTGAGACAATAAAGTGATATGCCCTTTTTTTATTCTAAAAGTCCTATTTTTTTAAATTATATATATTCAACTGTTTCTTAGTATCTTTTCTTGAGAGGTACTTAATAAGTTTCTAGAATCACTTTACTGTTAAAAATAATAATAATAAAAGTAATACTTTTCTAGAAAACAGTAAAATGCACAGAAATATCTTGTTAATATACCCAAATAAGGTTTCAAGAACATTTTATAAATGTAGTTTATCATATTGATCCATTTATAAGGATGATTCAACAAAGATGTAAGTTCCAGCTTGAAGAAAATACAGTGTTATTTGTTAAACTCTTAATTTCACAATTTGTATTTTAACTGTGTACAACTATTTCAAATATAACTTTAATCTGTGTCTTTTTCCTGTTAAGTTTTAATTATTTCCTTCTCTAATATTGATGCTAATGTTTTGAAACATTAAGGCTGTGTAAGAGGTTCAGTAATAATTTTTGACTTTTAAGTTTTTTCCCATTCAGAAAGTAGAATGAATGATAACCTTGTCACCCCCTGGTTCTGTTGTTGATTATTTCAAAAGTGTAATAATTGTGTAACTGAAATGCTCAAATAATCATAAAATTTTCATAAAAGATAATGTGATAAATTCGATGTATGGTATAGGAAGCATTCCTTTTATATAATAAAGCTGTTAGTGTAATTCTATGCATGGAATGGTTTGGAAAATTATGTTTCTAAGCTTTAGTTTTTTTTTTTTTTTGAAATTTGTTTTATGTATATATATATTTTTTAATTTGCTATGAATGTATTAAAATATGTTATATAATGTGTAGCATTTACTTTTGTGTTATGTAATTAAAATAATTTATTGTTATTTATTAGAATTTTTCTCTGCAATAGTGGTAAATGAATTAATATTACCACATTTTTGTAGTATTTTAAAGAGAATAAATGTTTTGTTCTATTCCAAGACAACTGTTTTGTTGCTTTTACCATTTACTAAGAGGCTGCTACCTGTTCGCTTCGCTCCCCAAACTCACTACTGCTTCGTTTCTTAACGATAAACAGCTTCAGAATTAAAAACTGTTCAGTTAGAAGACCTCGAAATTTTTTATTGTATTAACACTGATTAGTTCCTCCGATTTGCTTTCCGATTCTATTTGGATGAAATTTAATCGAAATATTTTGATCGGTTATCATTGTAATTTCAGTTGCTAACTCATATTTTAAATTCTTATTTACTGTTTGGTAACGATAGAAACTAGTAACTAAGGAAAGTATTTAGCAATAGTGCTATAGTGTTAATATTGTGTTATAAAAATGTTAATAGTGCATTAAAATTTTAAGCAGTTATGCAGTTTATATGTAAACTACATAACTGTTAAAAGTTTTGCATATTGATTGAGTTTGATTGCATAGGTTAACTGTACGCATTTTTGCTAACTTAAGTAACAATAACATATTTATCATTTAATGAAGGTAAAACAATAACTAAATATCTTTATTATAAAATGTTGCGTAATAAAAAAAATCAATGTTATTATTTTATAGTATTACACATGATTATAGCCATAAACATATTTTAAGTCCATGATTTTGAATAAAAATTTAAATAAAAAATGTAATATTCGCAGAGGATAATATTAAGAATGGTTAATCAATAAATATTACTTGTAGATACCGTTAAATAAGAGATAAGTAAATAATAGAGATCCAGATCACTATGGCCGTTTACTTGTTAGACTGCTGAAGAAATCTGGATCATTATTGTTTATCAATGATCATCTCATCATGTGATTTTTCCGTCCTATGAAAATGCACGAAATGATAAAACAATGAATATCTTTTTACGACGTGTGCAGAAATATGAACAAGGAGTTATTTTAAAATAAATTTATTTGGAACATTCACAGTGTGGGTTTGGCATCGACAATGTCACTTGTTTGAAGACTTAAAGAGGCTTTTCTGCGTAACAGACGGTCCACGTTTGGTTTCCTTCAGTTACTCGTTTGATCTTTGCTGTCCAGTTCTCCTCTAAATACTTGTAATCTGCCTCCGAGAATTCCTAAAAAATAAATCTGGTTTGGTAATCAAAACCAAATATAGGGATATGTATGACAATATAATGACAGGCCACATTTTTAAAATTAGATTTCTATACGCAGGAAATATTTCAGCAGTCTTGAAAGATATTTTTCAAGGGAAAAAAAGTGGAAAACATGTGCGTTTTTGAGTTTAGGGCAGAAGAAAGTTTTATAATTTATACAAAATTTAGGAGCTATATAAAAGAACTTAACTATATTGAATTAAAGCTCACACGTAGAAAACTTTGTGGTTTTCTCACAATTTTAATTTTTTTTCTTTTTTTAATCAGAAATAATCCTTTATTTTTCATCCAATCTCGACACAACAAGGAACCATACTGATTTTAGGCCTGAAAGTAAGATGAAAAAAAAATCTGGCATGAAAACCATTTTATTTGTAGCTGATTTTCGGGAGGAGTGAAATTTAGTTATAGTTTAGAGATGTGCTCTAATTGTTTTTAATCATAAAATTATCATCACTATTTACTTTTCACAGGTAAGAAGTAGTCTCACATAATATGCTACCACCGTTAAAAAAGTCTTTGTAGTCCTAGATAGTTTACTTTTTCCGATAACTAGTTTGAAGAAAATGTTTTTTTTTTTAAATTTATTTTTTTTAAAGATTTTTCTCTTTATAATATATAAGTTTTCAGTTCTGTTTCTCTGGTTGATTTTATAGTTTTGAACAATATTGTTCATTTAAATTAAGTTAGACTTTAAAAATACGTAAAATTCAAAATAACATTTTACACATTATGTTGTAAAGTGTTGTAGCATTTTCCTTCTTAAAAATGAACTAGCCGCCTTTGGCGACCAGCTCGGTCACCTTTTAAAATTACCTTATACAACATATACTATCTAGTAATCAAGCCGAATGCACAGCACAGCTGTATTTAAACATTCTAATTCTACAATCCCTCCTCTAATCTTAACACCTTAAGTAGTTTTGAACAATATATTAACTGAATTTTTTTCATCGTCTTGCCAAAGAATACAGAAAGGAGAAGGAAGTTCAAGTCTTAAGAAAACTTTACTAACACGGGGAATTGCTTGGTTCGGTATGCTATACCAGAAAAACAAATTTACAGGGTGAGCAACATACTCAGATTTAACAGAGCATCCTATGTACTCAGGGCCGTTTTATCCATTAGGCACTGTAGGCAACTGCCTAGGGGCCCCGCCACGTTCAGGGGCCCTGTGCTACAGAGAAAAAAATTGACAATGTTTCTTAAACAGTAAAAATTTAATTCGAAATTTCAATGACGATTGTCTTGCTCTGTACATTACATCGACGCTATTTTAGTACATTTCTGAACGCATTCCAAATTAGATATTAATATTATGGTANTATATTAGAAAAATGATCATGATTAATTTGTTTTTCTCTAACTTCTAATATAAATTGCTGATTTGAAATCTAATAATATCACACAATAGTTTTTCTTAATAAAGTAAGGTAAAGGGTAATAATAAAGTTTTGATTAAGAAGGTAAAAATTAAATAAAAATCCAAGTTGGTGTTAATTTATTTTTTCTCTTGATTTATTCTCACTTTTGCCTGTTCCTGAATTATGCACTTAATTTCTGATAGGTAATATGTAAAGTTGAAATTTCATTTTTACACTTTAGAGATTTCATTCTTGACTTAATAAATTTCAGAGCTTTATTTTATGGCTTGCAATTATTTATGATATGTGTGGTTGAATTGTAATAATCTTCTGTTATGTAATAAACTACCGTGTGATCTGTTTTTATCCTAGCAAAATCATATATTACTCCTAAAATTTACCTAAAATTTTTTGAAAAAAGCTCCTAAAATTACCCTAAAATTTTTAAAAACTTTGCTGACCCCTGGGAGAAGGAAGTTCAAGTCTTAAGAATACTTTACTAACACGGGGAATTGCTTGGTTCGGTATGCTATACCAGAAAAACAAATTTACAGGGCGAGCAACATACTCAGATTTAACAGAGCATCCTATGTACTGAGATTCAGCGCATAAGAATGTACGTCACCTGTGAACCGGTTGTTCGGCAACTCTACATGTATGTTTGGGTACGCTACCACCGACACCGTCATTTTATTATTTCTTTCTGTGTCAAAATGTGTCAGCAGATGTAATCAACATGATAATATTAATGTATTCTCAAAGGAATATATTTATTAACAATGCAGTATATACCGTTTATCAATAGTGTAAAATGCAGAACAAACCAATAATAAATAAAAAGATAAAACTTTTCTTCATCTCCCCAACTCCAGGAGTGGTCGGGAGGAGAGGAGGGAGAAAACCGTTTCAAGAACTTCTACTGCGTGCCCCTAAATGTTGTTTTCTTCTTTATACACAGGTTACCAAACCTCGGAGGACTGGTTTACATTATGCTTGCGGAAGCTGGCCTTCTTCCCCTATGAATTTTTTTGGTCTAGTTTTTGCCTGAGAGGAAGTATTTTGCTTTCAGTTTTAATTATTTTTGAGAGGTGTTGCATGATATAAGCAACATGTATTGAATTTTAGTAACAACGTAAAATCTGTCCGGTAGCCATTAAATCACACAAATCATCGTAAGTATGGATTCAGGACATCTCAGTATAGAAGAAAAAATTGTTTTCAATTTTGTCGAGATAGAAAATTCATCCCAATACTCCGTTGCGTGTTGTACTACATCCTCCACAGTACCGTTTATGTTTAGAATTTTTACAGCCATTTTAGAAAGGATCAAAAATAAATCTAAACAATTACTTCGTAACTAAGTTTTTATTTCTGTAAAAATACAAAATTATTCTAAATAAATTCTTGACGTCTATTCAATATTACTTCACTTATTATTTAAGACAACAAAAGGAATAATAACTATTGTGATTGAGGAACATCCGAGTTTATGGTGCCATATAAGAGAAATAGTCAACCTTTCATCCCTTCAGTGGGTCGATAAATGAGTACCAAGCATGCTTGGGAACTAAACTCTGGGGGTTCCGCGTTCGGCTGATCACCTTAGCGGAAGATCTGCTCCTGCACCCCAGAGCTCAAGGTCAAGAAAACTGAGATGGGCATAGTAGGCCTTGGCCCTCTATGGGCTGTTGCGCCACTGAGTTTAGTTTTCAGTTTATAAGAAAAATCGATAGATAGATTAGAAAAAGGTACAAATAATAGCTTTTTTAACTTTTTTTCTTAAATTTTTATCTTTTTCATATAAATAGTGGCCCTTAATTATTGCATGAAACATTTTTGTCAAAAGCAAATAATTTTAAATAAATTTTGATTGATATGTAAGCATTAATAATGAAAGCGTCGAAGGAAAAAAATATTATGCTTAACTACAACTTATAACTTACGCTTAAGAAATTTTCTTTTTCATCACGTAATTTATTTAATTCAGCAAGCAAAGCACTCAGAAATTCATCTGTTGCATCTTCTGAGCGTATATTTATGAATCCACATTTTTCTAGAAGCTGAAAAAAAAAACACATGAATGAAAACAAAACAGAAAAATAAATTAATTTTGAAGTTCTCATTCTCATTCCAAAATAAGTAACTTGACGCTAATTTTTATCTCAAAGTGTGAGTTAGTTTTATTTAGCTTTAAAATATCTGCAGTCGATTTGGCACCGCCACTCTGTGGCTTCGGAATCGTAACTTAGTGCTCGACAAATCTTCTCTGCTCGTCGACGTGTATGTGACGCTATTCCTCGTGTGTGACTCGAGACCTTGTGCCAGTGAGTCCGCGATTGCTTGGTCTTGCATTCTGCTGTGGATTAGTTTTCGGGATGGTGGATTGTCTGAAATTTTGGCGTATGGGCCAGAAAGCCTAGGTCGGGGAATTCACTGCTTAACTTTTAAATACGTATGAAAAAAATACCTATCGACAAACATGTATTTTAATGTAAACTTATTATTATTTCTTTTGAGATTGAGGACAAGGATTGTTCTTGAAGACAAGTTCTTCTTTCCAACTTTCTCTGCAGTGATTCGTTAGAACTTGATGATGTTTCTGTTTTTTTCTTCGCTTAGCTACACTATGTGGTTAAATGTATCTAGACAACCAGCTAATCAGGGAGCTTTGATGCGTATATAAATAAAAAGTTGGTCCCTTTTTTGCATCCATGATAACCTGTACACGATTGGAAAGACTTTTCATCAATTTCTGATAGATACAATTTCTGATTTCTTGAGATAGGAGTTGACTTCCATACGTCTATCACACCTTAAGAGAGTGCTGGCTATGTGATGTGCGTTATAATTCCCCGAAAATGTTTTCTTTGAGATTTGGATCAGGTCTCTGAGAATGCCAGTTCAGTTTTTGAACAGCCATTTCGCCAAACCATGGCTGCAATCCCACCAATGGCTGGTCGATACGAATCAGCATCCGGTTTGCACCGACCACAGTGTTGACGTGAAATATTCTCAGTGATGGACGGACATGGGAATAGTCCCTTTGTCGTCAGGCTAACCGTGGGAGGTTCTCGTGGTCTTCCTCTCCATGTAACGCAAATACGGGTTAGTTCCACCAAAAAGTCCGCCCCGAAGGCAAATTTCTCCCAATACTTGATTCAGGAGTTCTCTTGTCTTCTGGATTGGGTTCAAAATTACAAGGCTACGGTGTTGAACAAAGTAGAGAGAGCAGTATTGTTCAGAATGTTCTTACACATCTCATTGTACAAGTTTCTATCCTCAAAAGCTAAGGGACCCGGGGTTACCTATGAAATACATCACCGCACTATCATGCTTTAGGTGGATGTCTTGATAATTTTGGCCACATAGTGTCTTAATGTGCTGTCCCAAAGTATACTTTTTGATTTTATTTTTGACAAGGATTCTAAACATGTATCTTAAGGTTGGCCATTAATGAATACCCTGTATGGATTCATGAGTTTTAGAAGAAAAAAAATCTGATGGTGAATTGATATTCTTACTTCTTTGTACTGATTTGTTGTAAGTAGATTATATCCCCTGTCCTTTATGTAAGCTTCAAAATTCGGTGAAATTTCTTTTTCACTCCTAGAATAATCAGTAAAGAGAATTTTTCCACCAGGCTTCAACCATTTCTAAAATAAATAAATGAAATAAACTCTGTGAATACAAAGACAACATGTCTCAAATAAATATTTTTTCTAAGAAAATTTGTCTACACAGCGATAAATAAAAACATAAATCTTTTCTTTGTTCTGAAAATTTGAACTCAATTTTAAATAAATTTTTAATTAAATAATGCGTTGATATCTGAAAGAAAAGCATTCGGAATCACATTTTTAATCTCAAGTGTAAGTTGAAAAAATTTTAGCAGCTTTATTAAAAATATGGTAACAGATTTTATGAGTAGTAAATGGAACACTTGATCTGCTTTTGATCTAATAATCAGAGATTCACATTCTAAAGAAAAATGCAATCCTAATGGTTCGATGGATCGACATTAAGTACAATAATTACTGCAGACTATAATTTAATTTCGGAAGTGAGGCATAAAAAAGTTCTTAATCTGAATAGACGTACCTTTTACGGACGGATTTTATTTTTTTAAACACAGGATATGGGGTATGGAGTATAGCCTCTGAAAAATAAGGTCCTAATAATTTAGGCGAGAGAGAGTAAAAAAAAAGGGAAATCGAAAGTTATCACTGTTTAATGTTAATTTTACTTTTTGAATAGTTCGCCATGCTTGGAGAACTTGCTAAGGGACCAAGGGGGAATCGAAAACTTTTTGCACACAATTATTAAATTCGAGTTTCCAAAGATAATTACGGGTAAAAATTAATTTTATAGAATAGTGCATAATTATTTTATAATAGTGGAAATCTTTTGCGTTGCAAGGTATGAACATTTTTATATCATTTTTAAGAACGTAATTTTGAATGGTAAAACACAAAATTTAAACGCTATCAGTCAAATAATCTCTGAGTAATCAAGATTTAAAATGTCGTACATTTCAAATTTGATTTCTCAAGAACTGTTTAACCAATTTCGTTCAAATTTTGCATTTTGCTATTTAAAACTACTTTCTATAAAATGATGTAAAAATTTATTTACTGAGCAATTCAAAATTTTTACAATTGTTATAAAAAATAATAAAAAAAATAATAATTGTTTTTTTTGCACAGTATTTTTTTTAGACAAACGAATTTTATAATTGTGAGCAAAATTTTTTGTTTCGAAATAAAGAGAAGAAATAGATTAATTAAATGGTTAAAAGTTTATAATAATGAGAAGAAATAAATAATATTTCAAAAAAATTTTTTTATTTTAACGTTAAGAAAATTAAAAATTGTAAACATTTAATTATAAAGATTAGAGAGCGAATTAGTTTTATAATTACAAGCTCCTAATAATTAATCCCCAATTCTTTAAAGAATGAAACCAAGGGAAAAAAAAGACTTTATTTAGAGGACTCCGAGTACTACATGTGTTTTATCTTGTAAACTTATTTTAGTGACAGCATCTATTATTTTAGACGTTGAAAGAGCCTCGCGTGGAAAGGGTCAATCATAAGGACATCTTTAAGTAATTTAATTGTCAAACGCTGCGCCTTTGGTATGCAGAAATCTAAGGTGATAACCATCGAAAAAAAAGAAAAAAAAATATTTAATTATTCTACAACTGCTCCAAATTTTTCTTTTATTTTCCTTTTAAACAGCCATTTAGTATATTGACCACTATTTTCTATTTTGTAAAGGTGCCGAAATGGTATTTATGAAAAAAAAATGTAGAAAGAATCTTAATCTAGTCGTCGTCGCAGGCCATTAAGATAAGGGGTGCTATTGTTCTTGTTTTCCAGAGGTGCCACCTATGGTCAAAAATTCGACTTCTGACGCATCCATACGTCACAGTCCGTTTATAGGGTGAACCCATCATATATCCATTCATTCATCCACCGATCGTAATTTTGACCTGAGCCGGAGAACGATCCATCTCCGATTCAGTACCCCCAGAGGTATAATTTGTTATGGAAACATGGAGGACTTTATGACCCTATAGATTTAACTTACATCAGTCACCATTTACTGCACGGAGAGTCTTTGGCCGGCTGGATTACTAATAAAATATGAAGTTACTGATGAATATTATTGAGAAAACTCAAGGGAGCGATAATAGGCTGATAATAGGCTAAGGGTGTTAGAGTTCACTCTCCGCTGGGGTCGACTATATTCTTAAATTTCAAAACAGCAAAGCGACTGCCCTACATGCTCTTTTTGGTTTTGAGGATCACAACTCTGAATGCGTGGAAAATAAAATGAAAGTTATTGTATCAGTCGTATGTTTACTCAGTGAAATTTGTGTCTGATTTCGCTTATTATCGTCCACAGTAATCGACTAGCATATTTGAGATAATCTTTCAAAGATTAAATTAAGNATTTTACTTATAATATTAGATGGTTTTCGAGTGAGGGGGGGGGGCGCTAAAAAGGTATTGTGCCCCGGGCGCTAGTTAAGCTCGCTACGGCACTGGAGAAGAGATAAGCGAACAGTATTTATTAAAAGTATCAATTGAGCTTCACTTACCAGAAAATTTGTGAACAATTCATCTTTGTTTGGAATGTGAAGGAGTGTATCTCTACTGTAGATTGTATCAAATGCGTTGTCATCGTAAATTGAACGTGTGACGTCACAGATAACAAACTTTACCTAAAATAGGGAGTTGGTACAGTATTACGCATATGAGAACCATTTGCATGCAAAAAAAGTGGTACATGAAAAACACCTGTATGAAAAAAAGTGGTATATGAAAACCATTTGTATGAACAAAGAGTGGCATATGAAAAACATCTGTTTGAAAAAAGTGGTAGCATACATTTATTCCTTACTATCTGCCACTTTACCTTCAAAAATGCATTACGTAATGACTTATGACTCAAATATAAATATATGTATGTACAACTAATACATTATCACAGACAAAACTAAGTTTCTGAAAAATAAATATTAATAATGAAATGCTTTTAATACAGCTTTTACCTTTTTTGAAAAGAAGAACCGTCTTTTCACAAGCATGCTAAGTCCTAATGCCTTAAATCTTAATGGAAGGGTTTTCAGTGGTTCAACAAAATTATTCCAGTGATAATAAATTAATCATCAAAGCAAGTAGAAAGTTCCCTGATTAATCAACCACTTAAATTTAAATGAATTTTACAGCATGGATATCGGATTTCTGTAGATATACAGTGAAACCTCCTGTTATGGACACTCCTGCAAAACGGACGCCTCTCAATACGGACATATTTTTAATTCCCCGGGAATCTTCTATGAATAAACCATTACGTACATTCTCCGCAAAGCGGACACTCCCGTAACCGGACGCGGACAGTCATTTTGGTCCTGAAACGTTGTTTTTTATCTCTACAAACCGGACACTACTTTTTCTAAATAAATTGCAAGCTAAAAAAATTCAACTTTTCACCATTTTTAAAGCATGTAAATAAAACTTTTTGCCTTATCCATAACTAAAAATATTGTTAAGCTATTTCACCACCGAAAAATCAATCTTTCTCCTGTCACCTTGCCTTATCTTTGTAAAGAAAGGAGAGAAAATGGTACTGCACTCCTGAAATAATTCTGACATCGGCATCTTTTGATCTTTTCATCTGGACCACACAGGTTATGAGACCCCTCAAGTTGAAATGACTTCTCTCAATGCTTCTTCCCCATTGAAAATTTCTTTAATTTTCTTATCAATTTGAAGACTGTATTTAACACAACTGGGGTAAAAAAAAGAGAACAGAAGTATAATCTTTGAGGTGTTTATATAAATGAAACATTTATTCAGACACTTGATAGCTGATCAATTGTGAATAATCATCTCCATAGGTCCTCATGACTTACAGGTATGCATTACTTTTTTTTCTGTGAATCATGGGAGGTTTATTTTCCAAGAAGGTATTAACCATGTTCCCTATCAAATGATAAGTAGGTGTAAGGGGATGTGAACCTAATAATTGAAACGGACTGAGGACAGTACGCTCCTATTTGGTATCATATGTCTAACTTGAGTATCTATGCTAATAGGAAAATTATATTTATTTATCTGTAGCTACATCCAGAATTATGTATTTATATCAAACTTCTTTATATATTCTTTTTTATCTTTCTTATTGTTTAAATAAATATTCTTGTAGATATTTACAGTATCCTTGTAGATATTATTTCTACATCTTTGAGAACATTCTAAAAAAATTTAGGGTGTTAAATTTTGTTATTAGGGTACCCTTCCCGTAAACGGACAACTCTCATAAACGGACACATTTTTTGGTCCCATGAATGTCCGCTTAACGGAGGTTTCACTGTATATCAATTCTTGAATTAATGTGGCCATCAGATACATTTTATGATAATTTCTTTAGTTTTTATGATGCAAAACTTGTTACCAATTTAATTACTGAGTTAACCATTTGCGTGCAAGACGTAACTCTAGAACGTTATTGCCACTGTAAATATTTAAATGACTGAAAATATTTAAACTTTTACGTCCTAATGCTATCTCTTTAAATGTAGTAATTAAAACATTTTTTGAAAAGTGCGTAAAACTATAAACATGTGCGTATATGTGATTTTATCCATTTATTAGCCGTTAAATGTACTTGAAATAAAAAGGGCCAATATGGTAAAAAACATTAAAACATTGAAATTAAAATTAGCAAAACATTCATAGATATTAAATAAGGATCATAAAATATACCTTTTTTTTTAACGGCATACGCAATTAATATTTACTTAATACTCTAAAAATAGGAAATTTATCAGTATATAGTAAATGTTGCAAAAATTGCATCGATTTAAATAATCAATTAAAAAGACACACTTTGATTAGGAAATTAGATATTTATTATTCCTAATTTTCAAAATTTGTTTATAAGATCTTCAAGAGATGGTACTAATTATTGATAGAAACTAAACAGCAATATTTTAAAAATGACTATTATTTGCGGCAATAGCATAGCGAATTCTAAGAACAAAAATAACTAAAACCGTTGCAAACATTTCAATTAAGATGGTTTAACAGCGTCTTGTAGTATATTCAATCAGCTGCGCCATCTGTTGACTTACTTATTCTACTAATTTTAAAATGGGGGGGGGGAATTCTAGTTTTTCAAACAGAACAGAGCAATACAGACATTTCTATTTCCTTTATATTTTCAAAAGGAGATAGAAATCATTTTTGATCTTCACTTGATTTTTCAGATATGATCATCTTTGGTCTCACAGTACTTGTAAAATAGAATGCGCATTCCTCTCTATAAGGATGGTTAGTTTGGATATAAACTTAAAAAGGCAAAATATGATAGAAATTGTCACAAAATTGTGAAAATTACTTAAGAGATTCAGTAGAGGTACTTTTGTAAGAAATGCTTACTTTGTCAGCTAACTGTGGTTTCTCTGAAAGATATTCAGTGGCTACAGTCATCATATTTACAGATAAATCAACTCCCAAAACTTCCACGCCATGTTTCTAAAATTAAGAAAAAAATAATCAAGGATTAAATTAGAGTAAATGTGTGGTATAATTGCATAAGGTTCAAGCAAGGACATGCTCTGCTAAAAAACGATTTTAGAACAGATTAAGAGAAAATTTAACATAAAATCTGTCTATGTAATAAAAATACAGTTGCCCCTCATATTGGGAGACCGTTTTATCACGTGATCAATAAATTTAATTACGACACAGTTTACCATCGTTGTTGGTGCATTGACTGAAAAATCAAATGATAGGATCCAGTTTGTCCCTCATTGATTTCCATATCTTTTTGATTGTTATCTGCATAGTTAAAGTCATTAAGGTATAAAATATTTTTTATAGCAAGATTTACAGTAAAATCACTGAATTGTAATTAAACAACTATTATTGTAAAAGCTACGCTAGAAAATTTTAAGGTAAAAATAAATTTTATGGTAAAATGGATTTTACCATAAAATCTATTCACGGTGCTAATATTTTTTCTGTACCGTAATTTTAATCGGAATTTCTTGCAGTGAAAAAACGATAATTCTTGCAAATCAATGATCAGGGGTTCACCTCCCTATTATTAAACAATTCTCAAAACGACACATTGATTACCATTAAGATTATTTTTTTCAAATTGTTTTCTATTTAAAAGCTTATTTATTTATACTCATATCTAAGACACGGTATTTTCCACTTTACATGATTTGCCGATGAGGAAAATACACATCATAACGGACACCCTTACTTAAATAGACACTTGAATCCTAAAAAATGGTACAGAAGCATATATCTGTCACCACTGGCCAAGTGAATCAAACAATATCTTCCCTGTAAACAATGGCAGCTATGTTTTGGGCTGCCGATTCGTGTTGAATTTAAGGAACAGCATTCTACTTTAAAGATGTCCTACCCAGAGGCTGAACTACATCCTCAAATGGAATAAATCAGTCAATTGTCGTAATTATATATTTGCGAATGGCAATTAACTGCTTGTACTATTTTTATTGGACCATACATATTCCAATCCCAATAGAAACGCATTCTTAGTGATTGATATCTAACTGATTGATCATAGAAGGATTGCCAATGGACAGGTAAGTGAAAGTGATGCCATCTTAAACATCCCTATTAACGAAGTCATGTACTGGTTAAACAGAGACAGAGAGATGGCAGAAACATATCAGAAACGAAAAAGAGCACAACAAGAGGTTGCGCTTTTACCACATTATGGTATTCATGACAATCGAGACATTTGAGTGATTTTACGTTTTTGACCGATCCTCCGTATAACTCTGATTTAGAACTTTTGTATTACCATTTGTTTTGCCTTCAGAAGGAATATTTCGTTAGGTAGGGATGTAGGAAGAAGACAAACATGTTACACTTAAATGATAAGGAAACTTCGAGTAAGCCTTAATTAAAAAGAGCAATTAGTGCCCGTTGGAATGAATGCTTAAAACCCATAATAAGGTTTGTTTTTCGAATGATATTGTGGTACTATTTGTCAAACGTAGTTTATTTCTGCCAGTATCCTGATTCTTCCTTTCATGACGTTGATATTGACCTGAAGGAGAAGACGTGTAGTTTCATCTTTCCAATCATGGGACAGGGTGGCCACTTTCCAGAAAAATTAAAAATACTGGTAGAAAAAGAATGAGGAAACAAAATGTTTTAACTAATTGCAATCGATAAAAAATAATTTAAATCAATTATATATGTTAAAACTGATGAAGACTGAATTTCTAAAATTGATGTGCAATTGAATCCTATAAAACTAACAATCTCATTAAATATATGTCACTATTTTTTAAATTTTTCCAGAGTGTGGTCGTCCTGTGGGGACAGGGAATTGCGATACAATGGGAACAGTACAATTTTTCTCTCAATTGAAGTAAACTTGTTATTAGTAAGGGAGGAAAAAAGCATCGCTGTAAAATGAAATTAAGTCACGAATAATCTAATGTACTAATAAAACCACATTTAGAAATTCGCTTATCAAAAACTTACGTACTATAAGAACTTAAATAAATGTTCTCTAGCTTACTCTAATTGTCTCGTTATTTAACAAACAGCGTTATTAAAAGCACTTTACACACTCTCAGAAAAATAGGATCAACTTTGAAACATACTATCAGTACCTAGGGCCCTAAAACAGTATAATTTTAGCTAGAACTTTAATAGGGTGTTAAATCAAACAATATTTTCGTTTAACATGAACCATAGAATTGTGTAATCAAGTTTAAGAAGTACAATGATATAGTTCAACGCATATTAAATTTGTAGCAAATTTGACGATATAGTTCCATACCCTTCTTACAGTGAAAGTATTCACCAATTAGAAGTAAATAATAAACAAACCTCGGCCATGTAGAAACTATGACCTCCGATACCACAACCAACATCCAGTACTTTTTGTCCTGGTTTTAAGTCCAATAATGATACATATTTCTATAAAATAGTAGAAAAAGAAGTAAATTAATAAAAAAAATTATAGCAATAAATCATAAGATGCAGTTTATGTTTAGCATCGTAGAATTTTCACTCGTTTTGATGCAAACAACTAAAAACTCAAAGACCCAATTACAAAATAAGTCCTTCGTCTTAGTAATACATTGATATGAATCATGATCTCGCATAAAATCATAAATCACTTATAGGCTCTTCACTTATAACCACAATCATTCATATAAAACCATAGTATGTTCCTCATAATAAAATTATGGTTTATACTAGAGAGCAGTTTGGAGTAAAGAATGAAAGTTCGAGCACGCCAAGTCTATTGTGCCACGATATAGAGTTGTAATTTATTGTTCCAGTTGACAAAAGAATCATTAATTTTTTACTTTTTTAGTTGCATTAATTATGCTTGAAGTGCCAAATTTTTCCATGTCGATGATTTTTTGAAGTATTCGATTGTTCTTCAAAGTATACTTGGTGCTCACTCTAAATAACCTCTGGTCTAAATGATCGGATTTTCATGTAGTAGGACTCAAACTTAATGGTTCTCGAGAGTGATCTCAAATATGCTAATTAATTTCAGAAGAAAATATTATAAAGTTACGAAATCAGATACAAAAACACACTTCCTCTGATTTTTACATCATTTTAAGGAATATAATTTTATTCGGCAAATTACAAAATACGAGATCGGTCGAATAGCTCTTGAGAAATTGAATTTTAAAAGTCGTATATTTAACATTTAATTTATTAGGAACTATTTGATAGATCTTGTTTCTGTATTTTGCCATATTCGAAAAATTTAAATTTTACAATTGTTTATTGCATGTTCACAATTTAAAATTTTTCTGATTTTATTAAATAAAAATTTTTTTTAAATTTTTATTAAAACTTTTTTCCACGTATAAATTATCCTTAAATAAACAAATTTTATAATCGTGCGCAAAAATTTTTCAAGTCGCTTAAGAAATTCTCGAATTTGGAGAAATACGAAAAAAGTATAATTAACATAAAGGAGTACAAACTAGACTCATGGTAGTCTAGTCTCGCTTTGCAAGTGGTCACTTGTATGTTCAGGGTGTGTCTCTCGTATGTTCAGGGGCGCAAGACTTTTGGACTTTGCACTAAATGTAGGACTGCTCAGGCTTCGCCCGAGCATATTCTAAACTGTATCGATTTTAAGATCGACGAGGTTTTTTCAAAGCCTCATCTGTTTTTAGACTTTCTGGACATTTTTGGACTTATGGATTTGGTCTAATTGTAATGGACCTCTTGGGGATTAGAAACAACACAACAACGACAGGAGTACAAACTTTAGGCTGCTCTCCTGACGAGACTATTGGGGCCGTATTTCCCTGATCTCTGCCACCACCCCGCCCTATTTTAAGGATCAGTAGTCCAAAACTGTTGAAAAAAAGGTATAAAGGTATGTTTATTTGGAGAAAATACATTTTTGTATCAGATTTCATAACTTAAAGTATCATCTGCTCAAATTAATTAAGATACTTGAGGTTATCCCTTGCACCATTCAGTCTTAGTACGTTAAAATCTGACTATTAGATCAAAATTTATTCGTGTTATTCTGTTTTTTATTTATTTTCTTTTTCTCACACTATACACAAACTTTTTTTACATCCCACTCGGTATATTACATATTATAAGGATCTAAACACGTCACATTATCTCATGCGTACTTTCCATAATAATTATTTTGCTTCTTTTCCCATATTTTTCAAAGGATAACCGCATAACATAACTTCGAAGTTCAATGATAACAAAAACATATAGTATACAAACGTCATGTTTAATTACAACTTCCGGGGAAGTTTACGTCAAAATTTATATATGTTTCTCATGTTGTCCTTATTATGAATTAATAGCAAAGATATGGCATGAACCAGTCCTCGGCGGTCAAAAATTCCCCGCGGACAACGAATATTCTCGAATCCGACGTCCGCGCGGACGGCCATTTTCCCATTAATGTTCGTGATATATTTTCAATTTTTGTTATCTTACAAGAGTCTAGCGCCTCATTTCTAAAATGAGCCACTAATCTAGCAATTCAGCAACACACTGCGTATGGTGGAATTGATGTTTTCTCTGTCTGGGAGTACTTTACGAACTTACAATAAATTACATTACGTACTGGTCTTAAACAAGCGGTAAATGCAATTATGAGCATCTACCTAAATGGAGCATCTAAATGCTTCAATTAACANTTTATTTTAATACAGTATAATGTAATCCTAGTATTTATAATCCTAGTAACTACTAATTCATTGTGCAAGTTATATAAATGTTTGTAATAAATGAAATAAAATTATATTTTTATTTATTTAGAAGCTACGGGTTAGTTTTAAAGGAGGACGGGTAAAATTTCTGAGTTTTTTCGAGCCCTGGCATGAGCCTTTAAAAAAAAGGGTAATGTCTAACCTTGGTTGTTGTCATTCCACCAGTGCTGAGGAATGTTTTTCCGAAGATCCATTCATATCGACGCACACCATTTCTGCTGTATTGCTTGTTATCCAGAAAGGCTTGGAAAAGATCCTTCGAATTTGTATCCTTAGAATTCATATTCTTCTCTAGCTTTTTGGCCAAGAAATAGATCTGGTAGGAATTGTTTTTGTGCTAAAAATATTCAAAAGTAATTAAATACGTTAATAAATGAATGAAAGTGTGACTTAAAAGCTATTATTTTTATCATCTCAGCATTGTTATTTCTGGAAAGTTATTCATTGTTTTCTGAGATAATTTTTTCTGAACTTTTTACCCTTTTTTGTTGTTGTTGTTTTATTTTGATCAAAAATGTCACAAAATGAATTTTTTTAAAACTTTTTTCCTTTTTATTCTATTCTGTATTTTCATATCATTGCATATAGAAATGTATTTTTCACAAACACCAAAAACAATAAAGTAAACATTTTGAATAAAATACTAAAGTCACCTTACTCCGTAAGTAACTCCCAATGCCCGATGTTACCTTTATTATTTCAGAGTAATACTAAAATGAAATCAACCGTAAATAACATGAAAGTTGCAAATTATGAAATGCGTTTATTTATTCTTTTTAAAAGAAATCACGTCTCAATCAAGTGGTTAAAAAAAAACTAAGTAGATAGTAGTTTTGTTATTTTCTTTCGAAAACTCGAGAATTTTTATGAGAAAAAAGCACTAGTTGTCTAGTTATTATTGCATTAAATAATAATAGGTAACAAATTTTAACAGGTAATAAATTAGTAGAAAATTTTATAGGTAACAAATTTTAACGAATATCTCTGTTACTATAACCTGAAGAAATCCTAGTTTTCATGATTTAGAAATTTAAAATAGCAGTTATATACTATTAGCAATAAATTTTACTATTAGTAGGAATTTCCTTTCTTTAAAAGGCAAATTTAATGTTTAGAGATCTGAGAACTCAGAATTGATGCATTTAATTAAAAAAGTATTAGTTGTATTTTTTTTAATAAAATGTTTCATACATTAATATATAGTTAGTAACAAATATATTAATATATCAACCTTTACCATATATTAACCCTTTCTATTTGAACAAGATTCTGTGTCTCTTAGTTACCACTGTCACCTACAAAATACCAACTATTTTAAATGTTAAAGTTTTTACATTTTAATGTTAAGTAACTATTTTATGGGGTCGGGATTGCCTGGTTGGTAGGGCGTTGGGTCCATGCACAAGAGGTCATGAGGACGATCTCCACTTGTTGAAGACTCCACGTATAAATGGTGACTGGTGCACGTTTAAATATGTCTGGTCACAAAGTCCATCATGTTCCCTCAACAAATCATACCTCTGAGGGTAATGAATTGGAAATTGATTGTTCTCTGGTTCAGGTCGAAATTACGATTTGTGGATGAATGAATGAATGTATAGATGAGTCCGAGCTGTGAGGTAGTCTATAAAAGGACTGTGACGTGTATGTGGCTGAAATCGTTTTGTTGACCATAGATGGCGTCATTGAAAAACAAGAAATGCACCCTCTGCCTTAAATTGACTCGGTTACACCAAGCAGGCTTGCTGGTATTGGCAAGTGGCATTAGAAATGACAACTGTTTTATTTAATGGACTCCAGTTATTATACGGCAAGAGTGTGAATGTTGAATCTTGTTTTCTAAACTTATAAGTGCTTTTTATAATCGTTGAGAAAAACTGATGTGCAAAGGGTCAAAATATTTTTTTTTTGTTGTTTTTAGCATTTTTTGAATGATGGAAGATCCGTGAGAAAATAGCATTAAATGAAATTTACCTAAAGAGCGAAACGAAGAATGTGAACAATATTTATTTCAAAATTCATTTGATTTTATTTATTTATAAATATTGTAATTATTATTCAAATCGATATGGTAGATCATATCTTTTCCCCTTGGCATATCTGATCTCTGACATTTTTAAGCATATAAGTACTATTATGTTTATCAAACAAACTGTCTGTATCTGGTGGTATTGAGTTTTCCTTGTTCATTATCTTTCAAATGTCACACAGGATCGTGGAAACACGGGTTTCAGTTGATCACCAAATTCAAGCATCACTGGTAGCTATTAGTGAGCGGGTAGGTGACACTTTGGTTAGCCTGCGAAAGTTCGAGGGTGCGCGGTATTGCTCCACGTTTAACTGTTCTATCTTAAAGTGTTAGGCTTCGCGAGCGGCTACTATAAAGCGGGGAAGCTATCCCCTCCGCAGAGGATAAAAATTGTGATGTCTTTGGACCATTCTCAGGGAGGTTTACTAACGAGCTATTAAATTTCAAAATAGCCGGATCAAGCAATTGGTTGAAAATGGCCCAACTATTTTTTGGGGAGGGAAATCGTATTTATTGACTGGCGCTGTTGTATATATATATATGTTACTGTGAAACACCGAAATCTGTAGAATGTCGACATTCCCCGGTGAATGTTAACATTCACGTAGTCGCTTGGTGTATGTCCGAAATATTTGCGAAATACCCTTATTTCTGACTCTCACCGGCGAATGTCAACAATCACATAGTCGCTTTGGTGAANATATATATATATATAAAATCCAATTCAACATGGGTTGTCCACAATTCAAATACTTATTTATTTATTTTAATTTGTTATTAAGTATAATCGAGCTTTGTTTGAAATAAACCAGCTAATTTCAAGCGCTAAATATTTTATTTCTGTTGAAATGCTAAGTTACAAATTTGTTTAAAATTAATCCTTTCGTGTCACTATGAGATTTGTTTGAATTTAGTCTCATTGAAAAATTAAAAAGCTATGGTAAAACAATGAGAGAAACAAAGACATGTAACTCCCTAAATTTCATCAATATAATAATTCGAAATTTTGTTAAGGAATTCTGTTGATATAATTAATTGAAGTGATAGCTACATTGAGAAATTTTCCTTTATCACTGAGTCTGAATTTGGTACCACTTATTTCTCCAGAAATAGCAAATTTGTGATACATCCTTTACATTCTAACGCAAAACAATTACTTCGAAATTAATATCGAAAAGAAAGTACTCAACAAATGCATCATACAAATGTTTCATAGAATTTGACTAAATATTTATCTTTGCCCTAATTAAAGTTTAAAAAAGAGAGCTGCAAAGTTAAAATAATAAATAAATAGAAATTATTCCACTTCAAAGCAATCTTTGTTTCTTAATTCAAAAATCATAGGTAGTGGAGTTTTAATAAAATATTTATCATTTAGTTTAATTTCATGCTATCGCATTTGCAAATGTATTATTCTTTATAAAATTCGACAAATGACCAACAATTTTTCTTTTATGCGGATGCTAATATGTACTAGCTTATCATAAGATATCGCTTAATTCATAAATAATTACGTCATAGTATATATATACATATAAACTATTGCTATTTTTAATCACATACATGTGATGTTTTTACAACTTTAATAATAATACTGCTAATAATTTCAAAAATCGCTTACCTTAAAATGAACCTTATGCCACAGAAATGTTTTGTAAGAAAGTGAAAGATAATTTAATTTCGGTAATTGTCGTCAATCACCGTTATCTACTCTTTTAGAGATAAATATTTCATCAAACGATAACCGTTAAATAAATAAAACTGATTGAGACCCTTAGAAAATATTGTTTTATTTTATAGATTTTTAATAAAGATGATTAGTCTATGAATAACATACATGGAAGAAAATTCAGATATGCTTAAAATGATTTTAAAGAATTCTCACAAGTCATGATGATTAATAAGAGTGAAAGAAGTTATGTAAAGAGAAGGCGGAAAAACATAAACATTAACACGTCTGCTTGCAACATTGCTTTGTCCTTAATCCCTGAGAGCTACAAGCACATTAATGAAGCATGGAGATCCGAAACAGATCGTCAATTACTACTACTACAACTTCTGCCAACATTACTTTATGATTACCAATATTACTTTGAAACTTGATTCTTTTCTCAATTATGCTACAGTTGTCTCAAATTTTTGCTTTTCATTTTTGTTTAACCTAATTTGATTTTAAATTATTTTAACCATCACGGTATTAAAATAATTGAAACGTCTACGCAAATAAACTTGACGTTAATGTGGTCATGTTTTTTATGGCAGTCAAAGTTAACCCTTTGCACTCCGATGTCTCCACTGAGGCACCATAAACAGTCACCCCTTTAAAATTAAGAAACTTTACACCTTAATAATTAGTTACCACATTATTATAACAATTTTAAAATTGTATAATAATACTTTATTGAGTATTTTAAATGCAATAGTGCTGATATTAGATCAACCAGCATTTAAAAATACTCGGAGTGCAAAGGGTTGATATATTCTCCGCAAACATTTGAAAACGCAAGTTACAAAATTCTGGTACTTTTAATTTTTAAAAATAATTGCGCTAAATTATCTGAATTAAAATATGAACATTGAAGTATGGCTTGTCAGAAGATCCTCTTCATTCACAATCGGGAACTTTTTGACTTGGATTTGTTATTGGGTACTTGCAACTTGAGAAGAAGTAATTTAAATCAAACTTAATTGAATACCTGTAAGCGACGTCACACTGGTGGTCACGCACTGGTGCGTCGAATCTGATTGGTTTGATAGTCGATTGGTCTAGAATGATGTCAGTTATGGGTATCTAATTATGAGGAATATAGGATTATATTTCATATTTAATTTTTAAAAAAAATTTCATTCGATATAATCTTCTTAAATGCTTGCTATTGAGTCGTGGTGACGCAGAGGATGGAGAATTCGTACCCTAATAAAGTTCCCCAGGTTCGAATTCCCGCGGTGGCTGATTGATACGAATTCTACTTTCGACTGGCACCGACCGCAGTGCTGACGTAAAATATCCTCAGTGGTAGACAGATCATAGGATTTAATCCCGTTGCCTTTGGGCTAACCATGGAAGGTTTCCTGTTTCCCCCCCCCCTCCATGTAACATAAATGCGAGTTAGTTCCATCAAAAAGTCTTTCCGATGCTTGTTCCAGGAGTTCCCTTGTTTTCTGGATTATGTTTACACATTACAAGGTTATAGAGTAACACATTGATAGTCGTAAACTCAGAATTGGGTCGGTTGTTCAATACAAGTTACGTGAACTTAAATGTAAGGTAAGAAAAATAAATTGAATAAAAGCTAAAGGCACAAATGTCCTACTTTCTGGAGAATGGCTCTCATAAATTTGATCCAAATTTTAATAAAATTATTTTTTTCGCTAGTTTTAATTTTTTTAAAATTTCATTACTACTTAAAATGTTAAGAGTTTTTTTAAATTTTAACTTTGTTTTACATTTTTTTTTAAAATTGAGCTGATGGCAAAGGAGTGCTAAATTCATTTTCAAAGTTTTTAAGTGCTACTAGAAAGTAAGTGTTGGTAAAATTTCCATTTTTTTAATGAATTTCTGACAAATTAGAAAGAAAAAAAAATTAGGGAGCAAAAATATAACCAAATTTCCCCTGATAAAATTAAAAATTTGAAAAGATAATGTATAAATAAAATTTATAGGCGGTTTTCCGTAATGATCCTCTTAATATATTTTTTTAGAATTCTAGTGAACAGTATTTTTGTAGAATATAGCAACTGTAATAACCTTTAAATTATTAAAATAATTGCACACATGGCAGATAATTATAATAGTTTGATTTTCATTGAAAATTTCCTTGTTATCTTTCTGTTTATAAATGTGTGTTGTTTAAAAGGGTGTTCCATATTTACCGCCCTTAATATACATATGAAAAAACGTTGTAGACATGAAGACTAAATAGTATACTCATTAAAGGTTTGAAATGAATATTTAACTAAGAAAAGAGTAAAATGGTTACCGAATCTAACGAATTGCTTCAAAGGAAAGCGGGACTAAAAGCATAAAACTTATTTGATGGCAGAGATATAGGAAGGGAATTACAGATTTATCTGAATGCTTACTTAGAAAATATACGTGTCTATCAAAAAAAGTAGCAAGGTGCTTTCTAATAAAGATCAAAGTAATTATTGTTTATCTGCCCTAAATGTTTAACGTTTGTTAAAATTAAGTTTTTTTACTGCAGTCATATTATCTTTCATGCATGAAAGACACGTACGTGTGTTTGTTCTCAGAAACAATGAGATGATAAGAGATAAAAAAATATGAGTAACATTGTATACATAATCATATTAAATGTCTAGGTACTTTGATGCCAAATAACTGATTAGAAATTTATTTCACATTATCCTTTCATGACTATATCTATCATCGTTTTCAAATCAGATTTTTGTCCTAATCTTATACATAAAAAAAAGCACAGCTGTCTGATGAACTTTTTAAAGATTACATCTCACAAAATAATGACAATATGATGATGATTAGAGTTTGCAGAATCAAAGACAGAGATTAGAGATATTTTGAAAAAAAAAAACAGTTAAAAAGATGGTATAAACGTTTTATGATTGTATCATAACGTTAGCGTTTCATTATTTCGTTATTGCTAATTTTTGATAAAGACAAAAGACTGGTGATAAAGACTTCCTTTCTTTGGAGTAATATAAATATAACCGTCATTTATTAACAATATAGGATTCGTATGGTCGTTGGAAAACTTTTGAAGGGGTAGACATTTTAGAATAGAAAAGCCTGAGTTGGAGCACAAGCCAGAGGAATTTGATGAGGATTTGCAAATGAGACGCGTTCCCGCTAAATTTGTTCCTCATCTTCTTACTCAGGATCAAAAGAATATCCTCTCAGTGATGGTCTATCGTTCCCCACCCTTCGTATTCGTCAGACTTAGCCCCGTGTGACTATTTCCTGTTTCCGAGAATCAAGAAAAATCAGAAAGATAAATAATAATAAATTATTAAAGAAAATCAAAAATTAACTTGTTTAAAAGCAAAATTTTCAGTTTCTTTCCAAAATCGTGTCAACGTTAGCCGATACGTAGTATGCACCTTCACACACGTAGTGATGTCCTTTTCGACCCATAGCGTGATCCGGCTACTTTGAAATGTTATCGCTCATTTTGATGATGTAGAGCAGTGATTATCAAACTTATTTCTTTTACCGCCCCCTTTGAAAATCAATTATTTTTCAGCGCCCCCCATTTTTTATACACCCCTAAAACTTAAAAACCACAATTTCATTATTTTAATTAATTTAGTTATAGTATTAGTCGGTTCTGATGTTTAAACTTACATTCTAAACTGGAAATTTTTACCAGTGAGAGCAAATAAAACCCAACTTAATAATATTAATAATATATTTTAATCAAATTAAAAGAAACAATATAAATATATAATCAGTTTTCGTTTTTATACTAATCTAATGAGATGGATAAATTTGATGATATTTAATAAGTTTGTTGATATCAGGTTCGATTTTACTAAAAAACAGTCGTAAGTCGCAGCGTTTGGTAACTTGCAAATGATTTCTCTTTTTAGTAAGTAGCGTTGTCACAGCGCTAAATCCACGTTCACACAAATATGACGATGGAAATGCTATCAAAAATCGTTCAACGATAGATCACAATCCAGGGTACAACTGCTTAATTGACTTTTGTAGCCAAAATTGTTGGTAGCCATTTTTGTATTTGACTTTTATTTCCTCGTTCGTTGTCAGTTCTAAAAGTTCTTCTTCCAACTGGGGTGATATTGCTATGTTGACATTTGAAAAAGGATCTAACACCCAGTCTGTTGCCCTTATGTTAAAAACAGGAAAGAAAGTAAAGAAAACTTCAATTTATGTTAGTTTACGTATGTATAATATTATAAAACTCTGCATGGTAGTTTTTTCCTAATGTTTAAAATAATTTCTGGTGCAATGTAATAAAGGTAAAATTGCTCTAATTTTTTAACTATCATCGATCATGTTCCTTTATCTTTCCGCAGAAACTTGTTACAGCTTGATTGCGTACGGTGTGCGGGCTATCCTACGAAATCTATGTTAAGTATTTTAAGTTTTTATAACATCATACAGGGTAGAAATATAAACTAATTATTCGTTATTGTGTAGTAGGTGGGTTTTAATTTTAGTGAAATTTAAAATACTATATAAAGTAAATGAAATTTCAAATTATACATCGCCCCCCTAACCCACATCAACGCCCCCCATTTTTTCTGGGCCCCTTAACGCCCCTCTCTAGGTTTCAAACGCCCCGAAGGGGGCGTTATCGCCCACTTTGAGAAAGACTGATGTAGAGTAAGTAAAAACAGCTTTGCAAAGGGCACTGGACGATATCAAAGTTGAAAAATTCCAGAGCTGCTTCAACAGTGAGAAGTGTATCGCCTTTAATGCTGAGTATTTTGAAGGTGATTGAAGCAACATTGTAAAAAAGTTGACAAATGAATTTTCAATAAAAAAAAATCTGGGTTTTTTAGGTCTTCCTCGTATAATCGGAGTTTTGTTTATGCATATTTGTTATTTGAATCGGAATGCGAGTAAATAAAAATGATGCAAACTGTTATTATGTTTCGAACTTAAACCTTATATTATTTATGATAGCAACATTTTCAAAAAGTTACAGGAAATTTTTAACTAAAGTTATATTTAAGTTTCTACAGAGTGACTACAAAATACTGTGACAAATATGGAATAATTTTATTGTACAAATATTAAGCAGAAAAATATGTACCTGAATATGATGAGCACTAACAATGGAAGTTCATCTTAAATTTTTTTAAATACTAATCAACCACCATCTTTATCGATTATTAACGATAATCTCTTACGCCGTTGTCCGATGGCGGCAAGAATCAATTTAAGCGGAGTTTTGTCCCATTCACGCAATTAAGAAGCTCTGAGAGAGTCCAGACTGCTTAGCATCAATTTAAGACTCTAGAATTTCCGTAACACAATAGTCTAAAGGATTTAG